ATGTTAAATTTTTTGTTTTATTTTTAAAAGTTAACAAGTTTTAAAAGAACAATCTTTTTATTCTTTTACTCAACCTAATATTACTACTACTTGGCACATTAGATGAATACATTTTTCACTGATGGATGAACCTAAAACCTTGCCAAAGCAGTGTGATGCATTTTTATTTAGTGCATTAATCCAAGTGCTAAGTAGGAGTCAGACTGTGGTTTCAATGCTGGAGTTCTGTTTTGTTTTCTTTTTCTCGGTACCAGGGATCAAACTCAGGACCTTTCGTTTGCAAGGCAGGCACGGTGACACTGAGCTAAATCCCCAGCCCTGAAGTTTTCAAAAAAGGGATAAAAACATATTAAGATACATTTATTATCAACCCTTTTAAAAGGATTTCTTTTTTTTCTGGTACTAGGGATTGAACCTAGGGCTTTCATACTGAGCTCCATCCTCAGCTTTTTCAAATTTATTGAGTCAGGCTCTTGCTAAGCTGCCCAGGAGATAGGCTTGAACTTGTCATGCTGCTGCCTCAGCCTCCTGATTAGCTGGGATTACACTGCTGCACCATCACACAGTTTAGAAAGGATAGCCAAAGCTTGGAAGCAGCCTATATGTCTACCAATAGATGACTGGATAAAGAAAATGTGGTATTTATACACAAGGCAGTTCTACTCTGCCATAAGGACAAACTTTAGTCATGTGTAGGAAAATGAATGCACCTTGAGACCATAAAGTTAAGTGAATTAGACATACAAGCTTAAATATTGGATGGTTTCTCTATATGAGAAACTCAAATTATAAAGAGCAAAAGGGAGATAGATCTTTCTCAGTTTTGAAGATCAAGAGATAGAGGGCAGGAGGGAAAAGGGATGAGAAAAGGAATTAAGATGTTATGTGAATGCACCAACTCCTCATGAGGAGTGTAAACATGTACAGCAAACATGTACTAATAAAAAAGAAAAATACAAATAAGTAGCCAATTAACTTTCTAAAAAAAGGAATTCTTAATACACATTTGCTCATTTATTCATTTGAACATTTACTGTATGCCAACTTCCTGTAAAAAATAGAGAGTTCAGGAAAACAGTCCATCTCCTCGAAGGAAGACACAAAGGTCTGTAGAAAGTCCACACAAGACCAGATCTTAGCAACCATTTGGCCAGTGCTTTCCAGAGTGTGGTCCTGACACAGAGAGATCGACCTCTCCTGGGAAGTGGTAAGAGACGAAAATCCCAGGACGAGGTCTGCAGATGGACCGAGTCAGATGCTTGGTGGGGGAGCCCTTTGGGTGACCCTGACACCTGAGGAAGTCTGAGGACCAGCAATGCAGCCCAATCTTGTTTTTCCATTCTTGGGCCACTTGCCTCAGAATCTGATGAAAGTTTGCATATTACATGTAAGGGTCACAGTCCCAAGTTAAGGACTGATCTTGTCCAGACCTTTATTTTACAATTAAGCAAAGTAACTGTCAAGTGCTAAGTGCCTTGCTAATTAAACAGCTAATTAAAGGGCAGCCTGGTGGCTCTAAGCCCAGGCCAACCAGTTCCCAGTTCATCACTCTACCCCTCCTCTCTGCAGTGAAAGCCAAGTGTGGGAAGAAACACACACAACTGAAGCCTGTCATCTGTGGCTTTTTTCTTTTTAAAATCTACCATTTAACATGCGACAAAGCTTCTAGAGAAGGCAAGGATGACTTTCCTTTGTAATGACTTGTATGAGGACACAGTTATCTCCGCAAAACAGATACGAGCCTTGGAGTTACTCCCAGTGCCAAAAAGGAAGAGGGCAACAGGTTGGTCTATTAAAAAAGTGTTTGCACAATTCATGTATTCCGCTGAGAACTGGGCATTGTTGTTGGTAGTCCAACTGTGCTCACTTAATCACCCCTAGAAAGCAACTCAACACAGAGAATAATAAAACAAGGCAAAGTGATGCTGGGTAAGAGAACGCATTAACAAAACAATGCTCTGTGTATCTATGTCAAACACGGGCAGAAGAAATCCACGCTGTCAGAATACAGGGTCATGATTTCCCTTGAGGGTGGAGTCTGGAGGGAAGGGCACAAACACTAATGTTCAGTTTCTTCACTTGATTCTTGATGAAATAGTTGTGTTGTTTCCATTTAAGGTGAAGACTTAGATCTAGCTTTCTATATGTTGTATATTAACAAAATAACAAAACCTAGGTGCACTTTTTTTTGCTGTGCGAGGTTAAATGTAGGGTCTCGCACATTCGAGGCAAGCATTCCACCACTGAGCTATATCCACAGCCCTTAGGTCTCAATAAGTCACTAAATTGCCCAGCCTGAATTTGAACTTTAGGTCTTCCTGCCTCAGCCTGCTGAATAGCTAGGTTTAGATGCATGTACCACTACAACAGTCTAAGGTGTAGAAATGTTAGAAATGCAAAAGTGTCACGAAAGGAACATTATATACTTACCTGTTCCACAAGTAAAGGACCATAGCAGAGCAGGAGTTCCCACTAGCAGGGGCTTTGAAGATTATGTTTTGAAAGTACAGACCTCTGTAGGTTTGGGTTACCTGTTTCCACATACGAGAAAACATGCAGTACTTGTCTTTCTGTGACTGGCTTATTTTGCTTAACATGATCTCCAGTTCCACCCATCTCCTGCAAATGACAGGATTTCCTTCTTTTTTATGGCTGAATAAAATTCCATTGTGTATTTATACACTGTTTTTATCCGTTCATTTGTTGATGGGTACCTAGGCCAATTCCATTAACTTGGCTATTGTGAATAGTGCCACAATAAATACAGTCACGCAGGTGTCTCCTTTGAATGCCCATTTCATTTCTTCCAGGTTATAGCCAGGAGAGGTTTAGCTAGATCATATGGTATTTCTATTTTAAGTTCTCTGAGGAACTCCCATACTGTTTTCCACAATTAGGTGTCTGGTGTATTATTTTTATAGTAGCCATTTTGACTGGAGTGAGACAGGATCTCAGGGTTTTTTAGACAAGGTCTCACTATGTAGTTCAGGCTAGTCTTGAGCTCTTGGCAATCCTCTTGCCTCAGCCTCTCAAGTGCTGAGATTACAGGCGTGCACCAATATGCCCAGCCTCAGTGTACTTTTGATTTAGTTCCCTGACAGCTAAAGACGGTGAGCCTTTTTTCTTGTATTCATCACCCATTGGTACTTCTGAGAAGTGTCTGTTCCCGATCATTTGCCCATTTATTGATTACTTGTTCTTCTGTTAATAGTTTTGGGTTCTTTATATATTCAGGATATTAATCCTATGATATTGCCTTGAACTATGCTCAAAATGGGAGTAAAATGCATGCAAGTATATAGACCCAAATTCACAAAATGAGATCACATTGAGTTATAGATGTTCAAACCTTTTGACCCAAATTCCCTATTTTCTAAATAGCCACTGAAAAACAAAAATTTACGTAAACATTATAAAATGGTAATTTTTTAAAGCAAAAAGCTATAAAATACCATATATAGAACAGAATAATTAAATTATGCCCCATTTATACCAAGAACAATTGTTTAAAACCCATGTTTTTGAAGAATACTGTACTGATATGGTAAAATGTTACAGATTATTATTAAATAAAGAGCAGAATATAAAACTGGCACAGAATGGGACCAGGGATTTAGCTCAGTGGTTCTACCACCTGCTGCCTGCCTCACAAGCACAAAGACCCGATTTTGATCCCTGGTACCAAAACCCCCCCGCAAAAAAACCAAACCAAACCTGGCACAGAATGGACCTTTTATTTTTGGAGTTCTGAAGAGTGAGACCAGGCCCTCACACGTTCTAGGGCCCGAGCTATGGCCCTGGTCCTGGACTTCCTTTATTAAAGAATTAAGCAAAATCTTATTTGTAAATATAAGAATATTAGGAATGTTCCTCTTTGTGGTTGAATACTGAATATTTTTAAAGTTTCTCCCAAAAGCCCTTTAATACTTTCCAAAATAAATATATTACTTAAAAAAAATTGTAAATATACCAGATTCTCTTTTTAAAATTAAAATAGGTACAGGATAAAAAGAATCCCCCCCCCCCAACCACCACCACCGCCGTTTCCTCCCACCCAGTGGATTCATCCCCTACTGAGTTTAGCAGCTAAGCATGTTGCCAAGTGGTGGGGGTCTGGTCACAGGAGGGAGGTCACTGCAGGTGTGACCCGGAAAGGTTTATCTCCTGACCCAGCTCCTCCCTTCCTGCTTCCTGGCCACCCTGCCATGAGCAGTTTCCCTGTACTACATCCTTCCACTACTCTGTTTCTGCCCTGGAGTCTCCAATCAAGGCCAGAAAATGTGAGCCAAAATAAGCCTCTCCTCCTTTAAGTTGTCAAAGTCCCCATAATGATGAGGAAAGTGACCTCAGACACCCTCTATGATGTGACTACCATTCAACTTCACAATCTGAGCTTAATATCTAAAAAGTGGGAGGAATTAATCACATTATAGATTTAGGAATGTGGCCAAGTCACGGGCAAAGTGTATTTTTTCTTCCTGATGACAAACAGCAAACTATCTTTTGGGCCCAGATGATTCAACAATGACAGAATTTTTCATACACTTAACCTTGGTGAGCAGTGTTCCTAATGCAGCCTCCTTTAGTCTCAGCTCTTAGATAAAATCTTTCCCTTGTTTTTCAAGAGTTAGGAAAGACACAATCACCTAGTTATAAATAAATATAAACAAAGACCTATTTGCATGTATACATTTTTCATCTCTCTAAACAGGGAATAGAGCTAAGGAAAATATGAGAAATATTTTCCTCACAATAATGTACATGGCAAATAACTGTGAATAACTTAATGATGCTAATGACAATGTGCATGTATATTTTGAGTTTGCTTCTATTTCACTATGATGATGAAATTTATTACTTATGATAAAAGGAATAGAGCAGTGTTTATGGGTAAGAAATGCAATCATTCAGCATTTTAGTTAGGAAAAAATGGTAACACTGAAATGCCGTGTGTGAGAAGTCATTACAGTAAAGAAATAAAAGCTGTGAGAATATAAGCACAGATTTTTAAAAAGCCATTTATTTTAAAAAACTGGTTTGTCAAATCACATACACGAGCTGATACACAACTACCAAAGTGGCCCTGTGATAGACACCAGTGGGCGTTCACCACAAAGTACCTGAAAAATACAGCTAAAAAAGGAGTCTGCTGAGTATTTAATTTCGATTCCTACTGGACTCCTCGTTGAATGGCTTTAAATTAGCGAATACAGAGTGAGAGGTAGAGTCCCAAGTGTGATAGCTGATGCCTCAGGGCTCCATTTAAAAACAAAACAAAAACAAAAACCATTTCCCCTCTGCACAAGGGAAGCCTATCCTATTTAATTTTCCTTTGTGAAAACAGAAGCCCAGTTTCTCTTCCCAAATGTTTCAGCATACCTAATTAAAAAGTGTGGTGTGTAATCTAGATATTATTGTGCTTGTCCAGCTGTTTAATTCTCTTCACCTTCTGATTCCGATTCTAGGAGAGAAGAAAGACAGAAGTCAGGTATTTTCCCCCAGACTCATTTTTAAAGTTAAGATCATCAAAGTTTCTAATCACCACTACTCCCAACCCTGTCCCAACCCAGGATGCTTCCACTTTTCACTGGGCAAAGCAGTTACGTCTGAGTGCAGACAGCAAACTCACGGCTTTTGCTGTAAGAGAACTGAACTAAAAAATGTAACAGGCTCATGTAATTTTTGGAGAATGTAACCTCTTTTATTCTTTGCGTCACCTAAAATAAAATTTCATTCTTGTTTAGATTTGCCCTCCTCCATAATTATTCTCTTACTTTTTAAAACACCAGCTACCTGGGAAAGGTGTTTTAGAAATCTATATAGTTCCCTAGCGTGTGAGCCTAAAGTGTTTTCCCCCTCCTACATCTGCTGATCTTCCTCATCATCTTTCATCTGGATGGACAACTGGAGAGTCTTTTCTTTATTTTTTATAAATATCACTGAGAAATTCTGATTGCTTTCATTTCAGAAAGGAGCATTAAGGCAAAGTATTTGATATGGGAGACACATTAAAAACTTCAGTTTTGGGAAAGTAAGAAAAAGAAATCAATGGAGGAGGCAGATAATTGCAAGTATAATGACAAAGTATTTGCTGAATGGCCATCGAAGTTATTAAAGGGAATCTTACCTTCTTCAGCATTCTGTAACCACTCAACAAATTTCTTCATCTGGTCAAGAAAAACACTTTTGCCTTTGGCAACATGTGCTTCCTTATACCATTTCAATATTGCTTCTTCGCTCAGAACATCAGCTGAAATTTCAAGTTAAAGAAAAGATGTCAAAGTTACTACATAAATGTCATGTTTAAGAACAACTTTAGGTCTAATAGCTTAAAAAACCACAATGTCTTTCAATGTTAAAAGCTCCATTGGAAAAGAAATCCACACCTGAAATGTACTGGGAGAATCCAAGTTCATTTCTAAGCAAGACAGTGCTATATTTTAACAGGTGAAGAAATGTTTTAGTTATAATGACGTGTAACTCATCAGGTACCGTACTGAACAGGGAAATAATTTCTGACCAGAAGGAGCCTGTGCTGGAGCTAACTGGGTAGCAAACAAATGGCTCCTACTAGCTCTGACCCCTCCTGTACCTATAAAAACATTTCTGTCCGGGTCTTACTCAGATTTGCGGGACTTGCTTTTCTCCCCTGTCCTTTGTTCTCAGTAGGGTTTCTTTGTTCTGCCTTCCCACTATATGCAAATAAGACAGAACTTAGTGCACTGTGAACCTGCTATGTGTAAAATTCTGTAACCAATAAGCTTGCTGGCTCCATATGTAAATGAAGGACTGGAACTTGAAAACCTGCCCCTTCCCTAAGTGTATAACAGCCCAGCTCTGGCTCAGTGGGGCAGTCAGTCTTTTTGCAGAGAAATCCCAGACTGACCCAGTGGCGTTAAAAATAAAGCTGTACACTCTGCCTCCAAAACTTCTGGGTGTGTCTTCCATTCTCCCGGACTACCTACATTGAGCTGCTACACTAGAGCTGCATATACTGGCTGGCACTTTGCCGGTACAGTATAATGTAGGCCTATACATTACTACTGGGACTTGGAAATCCAATTTGCCTTAAGTCAAGGTTATTTTGTAATTTTGCAAATGAATTAGCAATTCCAGTAATTTAGAACACTCAGTGTCTTGCCAAGTTCAACCATTCTTGATGGAATAACCTCAAATGATTGTTCTTTTAAGGGGATTTTCTTTTTGTAGGAAGAAATGACAAAGGGAAATAAACACAGATCGGCTACAATCATGTTGTAATGATTAGCTGTAAAGATGAGTTTGACCACCAGGCATGGTGGTGCACACCTGTAATCCCAGCACTTGGAAGGCTGAGGCAGGAGGATCACTTTGAGTCCGAGAGGCCAGTCTGAACTACATAAGGACATAGGGAGACCCTGTCTAAAAAAAAAAAAAAAAATCCAAAAACAAATCAAAAAGATGAGTGTGACTGACAATCATGACTGCCAACCTGAAGCATAAGAAACACCCAGCAGATTAGTAAAGCAATCTCTGGGTTTCCGGGAGCACGTGGGCGTGACCTTGGGGATACCATCTCATTGCCAGACTCGTGCCTCAGGCACTGCTCTCCCCTCTGCTTCTCAGCTGCCAAGAAGCCAGCACCTCATTCCACCACCTCGCTCTGCTCTGCCACAGTGCTTCTGCCTTGGAGCTGGCCAACCACAGGCACAATCCTCTGAAATCATGAGTGAAAGGAAGCCCTTCTTCATTTAAGTTGAGCACATCAGGCATTTGCTCCCAGTGATGATAAGCTGGCCAGTCTGAGCTTCCTGGCTGTGCTGCAGGGTCAAGACCCATATAACTCAAAGTTCCCTATTTATGTTACCAGTGCACACAAATGCGCCTTTCTACCCTCAAATTACCATCAACTTTTCTACTTAGTGTTAAGAAAAGGAGAATATAAAAAGAACAGTGTACATATTCTTACCAGGGTTCTAATGGGTTGTTTTTGGGATATGAGTGGGAAGGATACAGTAAATAGGTGATATAACAATATAGTAAATGATATAGTGAATGATATAGTAAACATTTACTATGATCCCCAGTGGGGGCTCAACCCATTACAAATGCTGATAAATCCACGCAAAGTTGATAAATCATTCTAATGACATATTAGTGACTAAATATAATCTTGATTTGTAGAAATGATTTAATATTATTTTTCTTTAAAATATCACTAATCTTTTTGTAACAAAACATAAGTATCTCCCTTTTCTTAAAAAAGGACTCTTAAAAGTCTCTTGGATTGAACTGAAGAGACAGAACTGACTACAAATGGACATGATTAGTTTTAGAAAACATGGCTTTTTGGTTGATTTTTATCATCAAATATGCTGTAACACCACAATTTGCAAAGGAAGGAAATCTGCATGTATTTACTTATAAGAACCGCAAGTGCAGGAGCTATAACCAGAGGTCCTGCAGACTGACTCCTTTCCTGCAGTCTTTTGGCTGGTTCTATTTCCAGCTCTCCATTCTCCTCTCTGAACAATGAAAGAAATTTTTAGTAGCCATCAAAGCCCAGTGTTTGGAGAGGGGAGGAACAGGCACTTATGGCTTCAGCAAGTGACTAGTTACTATGTAAGATCACCTTGCAGTGCTATTATTCAAGAACAACAGAGATTTTGTAAGATCCTTTTATACAACTGGCAAACCATCTTTAAGATGTTTGCTGTTTAGATCAGTAATTTCTAAACTGTTGTGCTCAAAAGACAATTCTGACTGTGCATGCCTATTCTTGAATTTCTAAACTATATAGAAATACTATTTTACTATTATTATTACACTTAGCACAGTTGTGTATTATTATTACTCTTAAGTGATTACTGAACATCATAGCAGTATGATAGGAGTATTTACCATGTTCAGGCAGATAAAACTCAAATGAGTTAGCAAAAAGCTGCCAGCGATTCTACTATTATTATTACAATTATTAAAAACAAAAAAAACAGAACTAAGAGATGTGACAAACATGCAAAAGGAAATTGTACTTTCTCTCCAGGCCTTACTGAGTTGGGGATGATGCAGAGAACATGTGGGAAGCTGTTTCAGCCTGGTTAGCGATATTCTAACCATGTGAGGCTTCTTCCTTCAGAAGCTCTTGGAGCTCAGGCCTGGGTTTTATTGCCCCACAGAGGCTGAAAGAGGCCTTGCATTTACTAAAACATTTGCCTATGAAAAGACACTAAATGATAGGTGCTGAGGTTTACACCTGGCTATCCCAAGAACTTCCTGTGCTCCTACTGGGGCTTGTGAAGGGTGACTGCACGGTGGGGCGCCTCAGCTGAACGCGCTGTTGGGAGGCAGGGTGTTCTCTGAAGAGGGCATTACTGCGGTTGTGACCTGGAAGGGTTCAGTCTCCCTGCTCCCGGCTTTACTCACTGCTTCCCATCTGCCATGGGATGAGTGGCTTCTCCCAACCAAGGCCCTTCCACCAGGCTGCCCAACCATGCGAAGACCAAAGCTTCTAAAACCTAAGCAGAAGTAAACCTCTCCTCTAAGCTGCGGGTGTCAGGCATTTTTCCCAGCGAGGAGAAAGGGACTAAAACAATAGGTTAAAAACCTATCAAATGTGTTGCCACCTTAAACCAGATAAACAGTGCAAGGTTGCATTCCTACAAGCTAGCAACCCAATTTAGTAATATATATTTGCTGGAAGACCAAATTTCTAGCACCAGGGAATTGAGTATAAAAAGGAACCAAAGCAATTACACAGGACAACTTGTAAGGCAAAGCATGAACATCAAAAAGTTTAAGTGGAAATTCAACTTTTATCTAGTGAAAAGTCTAATGAAAAGGAAGAGACTTTTTTTGAGCAATGAAGAAGAGGGACAATTTTTTTCCCCACTATAGCAGAGAGGGGAGAAGGGTTAATTAAACTGGGAGACCACTAAGTATTTGTTTAGATTTTTTGTAAGTGTCTACTGGAAATACAATGAAAGCACAGCAAGAAAAAAAGACATTCTACCTTTGCTCACAGTTCCCCCAGATTACAATATAGGTTTCCCCTTCCCTTCAGGCCAACTCAGCCCTAATGTCTGGTGAAACGACTTCCCATCCCTCGGAATCCTTTCCTTTTCCTTCCAAAACTTCAACTAAGTCAGCTGCCTCTCACCCTCATCCCAGCACTTCACGTCCTCTCTCTGGGGAGGCTGATTTTAGCAACTAACACGCGAACTGTATTTCTTTGCTTTCTTATATATCCTGAGTTTCAGGAAGTTGGGGACTAATTTGTTCACCTCATTTTCAACACCGTAAGACCTGCCATATAGCATATATTCAATACGTGTATAGTGGAGAAATACATTAACTTGACCAGAAAAAAATATATTTCTCAATTTGTAGAGTTCAGATTTAAAATCTAGGTGTTCATGATGATCAAAGAGACAGTGTTGCGTGAGTAGTTTGAGAATTTCTAAGCTTTACAGAGTGTTAGTTATTTCTAAAACTATGTCACTTAGAATTTAGAAAACTCAAACTTATTAGAGATGTCACAAGTCAAAAAAAATTACCCCTAAGAATGAATGCTGGGAGTATCTGCTGAGAATGGCATCACTTTTAAAAACAAGAATAAGAAACTCCTTTTAGAAAAATCTGCACAAGGAGCAGAATTTAAGCTAAGTACTGCAAATAAGGAAACCTGGGATAGATAATAACAGTACTCAAGGAGGTAAATTTTATATATAGACCTTCTTGCTGAAACTGGCATTTACCTTCAGGGGGAAAAATTATTTTGAAAAGTGAATACTGTGATGTTTGAAAGTTAAGTGGATTTACTTTTTCTTCCTACCTTAGAAATATAAAAATCTAGGTTGTAATACAGAAAGTGAACTTTTGCTAAATGACTAATCATCAGTTTATTTCATTGCTCAAAACATCATTTATAGTTTAATTCACTTTCATTGCTACACTTTATATAAGGTTTTCAATTATTTCAACAATGGCAACAAACAGCACTGGAATATAGCAATATGGTTAATCATATCCCCAAATTTGTGTTATTTTCAAGTTCTGGAAATGTTGGAGAAGATGTGTATTTGCATGTAAGAAAGACAGAAATGAAAAAGAAGCAATGTTTTCTGTTATAGTTTTGAAAGCTTGCTTTAAAATAAAATGTTCTTTAAAAGGAATCCACACCACTACATAAAAAGGACACTAATATTTATAAAATGTAAGCATGTACATGGAAATAAGTATAATCTTGAACGTGGTGCTATAGCTCTGGAATCTGTTGCTTTGCAAACTCAATACCCTTCAGACCATGGTCCTGGTTCAGTCAAAGCACCCCCTAAAGCTTAAATGCAAATTCCCAGGTCCAACCATAGACTCCCTAAGTCAGAATCTGCGAAATTTGCGTTTTAACAAGTTCTCCAGGTGATTCTGATATACACCAGAGTTGAAAAAAAGTGCTTTAAAATTCGCTTTTATCCAGTTTTTTTAGGTGTATAAAGCAGAAAGAGAGCACCCAAATCCTGGTACAAATACCTGCTTTCTGGTATACAAGTGTTTATTGAACAAAGTAATGTCAAAGGAAAAAGTTGGTTAAAAAAAAGAGGTACACGCAGTATAATATATAGCACTCTTAATAATGCCAAGGAACAATCAGTCTTCAGGGACTCCATATTCTCAAGAGAAAACATGTAATTATTTCATTTAGGAAAACAGACTATGTGTAAAACTTACAAAAAATTATGAAATTATTTAGAACATAATATTTAGTCTTAACATCCCAGTGATATATTTTAAGGATTCTTCTAAAAAAGAAAGATTCTTGATTTCATTTCCAAACATAAGCCGAATAAAATTGATTTTGAGGCTGGATGTGGTGCCTATAATCCCAGTGCTCTGGGATGCTGAGGCAGAAAGATGGCAAGTTTGAGCCCAGCTTGGGCAACACAGAAAAATCCTATCTCACAATACAAAATGGAAAAGGAACTGGGGATGTAGCCCCGGGAAGGCCTTGATGCAATCCCCAATACTGACCAAAACAAAGCCTCCCTCTGCGTGTCTCCTTGGCCTGCTCACGCCTGCCACAGACCTTATCTACTTTAACTTTTTAGTAAGTTGATCACCCGGCTAATTAATGAACAGCCTAAGGAGGAGCCAGTGCCTCTTTCTTTGCATTTCCTGGTAACCACTTGCCTTATTTTACAATTTCACATCACTCTTCCTTAGCATTTGGGACTGAAGGACAGAAAATAAAGTAGCCAGTTTTGTTATCTTTCGGTGGTTGTTACAAGGAGTATGATGGGGAAGGATGGTGGCATTAGTGGACAAAATGAGAAATTTGAAGGATTTTAATAGCTTCAATGCCACCTACATGTCACTGGCAATAACAAATGGCTTGTATAATTTTGTGTGAATTTTACGTATTAAGGAAAGGACAAATGAAGGGTTCCTTAAAGAAAGGAAACTGTTCCATAACCTAGTAAATAAACAGTTTGCTTTTCTGTAGTGGAAAAAGTGGATCGCTCTCAAAGCAAATGTAAAGCTGCAGCATAGGCCTATCAGTCTTCAGAATGGAGCCAGCTGTTGTCACGGTGGACAGAATGGCCACTGGCTTGGTGGACCCTGCTTCTCATTCTTGGCTACTGGTACCACACGTGGCGGGCACCATTACCTGCTAGTTTGGTTCTGATGGGTCACTTTGGGATCATCTGGTGTGCCCTAGTTTCAGACACTGGCATCTAGGACTATATGCATTAAGGCTCAATGGTGGTCAACTTCAAATGGGAGTTAGTAGCTATCACATTCTCCTACTGATACAGTAATTGTTGCTGAACACTTGAATTCTCTGCAAAAATAAAACATCGACCAAACACTTGTGAGCGAGATGTGTACGTCTGAAGAATCTGGATGGGCAATCTAAATTCATTGTGAATGATGTTACATGTTTTAAAAAAGCTATTAATTAATAAATGTAAGATTTTTTTATACTCTAAATCCCAAACCTTCACTCAAAATAGACAATTTTCAGAATACATCAAAGGGAATAGATATTTAATTAGTATTACTTTAATTCTTATATATTATGTTGCTTACATTTATAAAAACTACTAATGAGGATTTTATAATGTTCAAAATGTATTTCTTAAGTGTTCTTTTTCTCTCTCATAAAAGTATATCAATGTAGACCAAATACTGCAGGATCGTTTTTTTAATGTAGGTAGAGACAGATCAGTTGAAACCTTTAGCATTCATTTTTAGTGCCAGTTGTCATGACAACCTAAACCTTATAAATGCAATGAAAAGGCAGTAAACGTGAAAACCTAAAAATAGCCATTTCTTTGGAAAATAAAAGAATGACTAAAATGCCAAGTGAAAAGGCTAATTATTTCAGCAATTTTCAAGTCAGCTTTATGGCACCTAAAAGGGTCTGAACACAATATATATATATTATTTTGATAATCTTTGTTATTAAAGCTAATTGTTACAATTCAAAAGCAGACTGAATTATCTCATATAATTACATTCTTTCACCATCCCAAAAACAATAACTAGTTCATCCTCAGTCTTCTGGCAACTTTCACCAGTGAGAAATGCTCAGGACCTAGTCAGAATGGGTCCTGAGGCAACGTATATGGTGCATGGACTCCATGGTATGGGAGCCTCTCTGAGATGTCCACAAATTAGCTGTCCCCTCATAAACAGAACCCTGTGATTGCTACCTAATCCCTGCCCTGCCCTCAAAGGGCTTCAACAAAACAAGAAACAGTTTTGAACAACATGGATTTTATTTTTACCTTTGTAAAAGAGAACCACGATCTTCTGAAAGGCTTTCATGAAGTGGATGTTGTCGTAACAGTACTCCTGGACCTTCTGGAGGAGGATCAGCTCTGACTGGCCTTGGGAGCTGAACACAGCCAGCAGGGGAGCGTATTGCTAGAACAGAAGTGGACAGTAAACCCCGTTACTCTTGTGGGAACTGTGGTGCCAACACTGCTGCGAATGGAAGGTTTGCTTGGAAAACAGTGAGTTCTAGGATCATCATTCTGTGTCCAATCAAGACGAAGTGCTTTTAACCCAGTGGATTCATCTCACAGTATCCACTAAGAGATGAACCATGAAGTTCTCCCTCACTGAAGACAACTGCTGTGCCTCTGTATGGAATGTGCGTTACGTGCTGCCTATTTACCAGGTCAGTGCCCTGGAAGAGCGGGCTTCAACTTCCAGGCAGCCCAGACTCCTCCCTGGCCATCTGTCCCTATTGTTCCCTTTATCTCAAATGTCCCAGGCTTTCTCTCACTGATGTGTAGCCATTATTTTCTTCAAGACCTACTCAGTTCAACACTTATCTCTCCCAGGAGCTTCCCTGAGTAAGGCAGCTGGCACAGGCACAGCTGTCTCTTTCCTTCTCACAAACACCCAGAGTCCTTTTCTATGACCTTGATCTTGACCTTCCAGTTCAAGTGTAAACTCGGGAAGCAAGATCTAAGTCTTACACTTGTAATACAGTTTTATAGTGAGAAAACAATAAAAGCAAAATTGTGTATCAGTGCACAGAAATACACAACTGATGTACAGTAATTAGTTGATTTCTTTGACCACATACTCAACCAAGTCTATTATCAATTTATGGTTTTCTGATAACTTTTTATCACATGGAACAGAAAGAAAACCAATCATTTACATCCTATTTCTCTATAACGTGCACATCATATATGATGAGTCTGTGGATTTTCCTGGAATTATTTTTACTAAAAACTCATTCTGTGATACTTTATATGTTCTTACATCAGGAGCATATCAGACAGCAGCAAATTTGAAAAGGAAAAAAAAAAAAGGCTATGCATTTAGCTTAATTCTGGGAAAATCACAGGTGGAGCCTAATTGTGGTACCCCAGCTTTGTTTACTTTTTGAGACTGGGTCTAAGTTGCCCAGGCTGGCCTTGAATTTGTGGTCCTCCTGCCTCAGCTCCCCATTGCACCCAGCTCTTTCATGCTCGGAAGAAACACAATGGGCCCACAACGGAGACAGTTCCTTAGCAGGCTTTTACCTTCAGGTGCTTAAGAGCTTGTTCCGCAACAAGTTCTTCCTTCTTGTTCCACTCCACAGCATTCATTATACAGGTCCACAGGAGTCCAATCACGGCGGTTTCAGGGAGATCATTCCTCTTCATTTCTTCTTTGACATAAAGCACCACCTGCATTTAACAGAAAGAGGGTCAGAAAGCAAGAGGAGAGTGAGTTACTTGCTGTCTGGTCAGCAAGAGGTTTGAGGAAGGTTTAAGAAATGTTCTGTTTGCTCGCTCCTTCATATTGTCAGATTACAAGAGGAAAGAAAAAGTATAATTTGTCCTTAAAGCAGATTTACCTTTAGCCCCAAAACGAATAGGTTTATATCTGGCTAGCATGGACTAAGAGGACTTTTGTCCTCTTGTTTACATGGTGCAACCCCTTTGGGGTAGTGCAGGGACATGAGCCAGTTTGATTCTCTTGGGTTTCAAGAAGGCAAACAGAGCTGTGAATTTTTACCTCAACTTTAAATTGGGGCGTGGGGTGGTGGTATGAGGATTAAACCCAGGGCCTTCACAATGAGCCACACTCCTACCCCTTTTAAAATTTTAAGACAGATCTTTCTAAGTTGCTAAACTAACCAGACTGGACTCAAATTTGTGATCCTCCTGCCTCAGCCTCCCTGAGTACTGGGATTATAGGTATGTATCAAGATGCCTGGCTGATTCTGAACTTCTTTGATTTGTACAAGTCCATTTTCCACAATTTATTCAATTATTACCTTTGCTGATTCCTATGCCTCATTCTCAGTGAAAAGTTAAATTGTACACAAATTATAAATACAAAGACAAGTTTCTTTACTTGATACTCATTGTCTTAGTTACCTTTTTCATTGTTGGGACAAAATACCCAAGTCCCACAAGTTAAAGGAGAAAAAGTTTATTCTGGCTCACAGTTGGCAGAGGTCTGTCCATAGTGGTCTGGTTCTGAGGCAGAGTGCCATGGCAGAGAGGCAGCACAGAGGAAAAAACAGTTCATAGCTTGGTAGGCAGAAGACAGCAAGCAGCAGCCCGCCTTTCCCATTTAACCCATCCAGGCTACCCGCCTTTTGCATCATGCCACCCAGAACTATGCTAATTCCAACCAGTGAACTAATTTAGTACCACACACCCTTAATCCCAGTATCACATGTCCTAGATCCAGCCAGCTCTGAAAAGCCCCACCTATGAGTGCATGAGGCTCTCAGGAGACATCTAGACAGAAGCCATAACACTCTTCAATTCAGAAATACATAGCAGGTTATTTTTGTCCTTTGAATTATGTATAAATGTGTACATTTACTCTCATTTCTACCAGTAAGGAATACAGGTCTGCCTAGCAATGTATTTCATATTGTATTTATTTAGAATGTTGTTTCCTTTCAAAATAAAATCACAGATTGAGGTTAGGGCCTTAGAAGTGAGTAAAAACCATAATTTATCTTAAGTATTATTTTACAAGTAGCTTAACTTTTGTCTTCCTGTTACGGTTTTTTATCTTTAAAAAAATTTGTGTTTATGAGTACATGTGCACAGTACATAATCTTTTACATTTTGGGGGGCAGTTGGCACATGTACATGACACTTCTTAATTCCTTTTTTCATACCCCTTCCCCATTTCTTGAGTCCCTTTCCTTTTCTTTTGTACTTGTGTGCAGTTCACGTTTACATTCCTTGTATGGAGTTGGTACATGTACATAACACATCCTAATTCCTTTTTTTAGCCCTATGCATCCCTCCCTCCCCTACCTGGCAATCAAACTTGGGACCCTGTGCTTTCAAGGCAAGCAGCAGAACCACCGAGCTAAATCCCTGGCCATTGCATTTCTTAATCTACTCCCCTTTGAGAACACTCTATCTCCCTACTTCCTATTATCTAGATATTATTTTGTTCTTTAGTTTTACTCTGGGTTTCTCATATAAGAGAAACCATGTGGTATTTAAGCTTGTATATCTGATTTATTTCACTTAACATTATGGTCTTGAGGTACATCTGTTTTCCTACAACTGACTCAAGTTTACCTGTATGGCAGAATAGTACTCCACTCCCCAAAGGCTTCCTGTGTTCAGGGACTCTTGGAAGGTGGCTGGATCAGGAGGGTACTATACTATCAGTGGATGCTTCCACTAACGAGTTCAGTAGCTGAGTGTGCTGTTAGGCACTGGGGCCTGGCTGGAGGTTTGGGGCATGACCTGGAAGGGTGTACCTCCCTTCCTGGCTCCTCCCTTCCCTATGCTTCCCGGCTGTCACAGGAAGCACACCTTTTCCTCCATAGGCCCCCTGCCATCCTGTTTCTGCCTTGGAGCCAGCAACCATGGACTGAAACTGTGAGCTGAAAAAAGCCTCCCCTCCTTTAAGTTATGGGTATTGGGTATTGTGTCTCATTGGTGAGCAAGTGAGTAAGACATTTCCCTTTCCTTTGTGAGGGAAGACACTGCTTTCTTGCCTTCTGGCCTGGATCACAGAACAGCAGAGTGGCTGGGCAATCCCGCTGTCTGAGCTGCCTGGGGGAGCTACAAAAAGGGTGAAATCCTAGCGTCTAAAAGCATCATGATGGGTTTTGGTTTTGCTTCATTTCCCACGAAAAGTCAAGCTTTGGCTTCAAGAAAATTATTGAGTGTATTGCTGACCTCACAGCCATGGGACTTGATTCAATACTTTATGTGCTGATGCTATCAATTTGAAATTTTCCAGCCCTCAACCATGGTAGGAGCCTTGCAGGGCTTAGGGTAGTGACGACAAACCATTTAGAGACGAATACCCAAACTGCAACCCAAAACCCACTTACTTATTGCAAAGTGCCAACACTGCAATTAAACCTGAATACTGAGGTTTTAGTTTAGAAAAAAACTTGTTATCTGATGCTTAGCTGCTGGGGCAACTTGGCTCACAAGCTCTCTGTCAGCACAGGAACCAGGTACTTTGCAATGAACAAAAATACATGTAAGGTAAGGAAAGCTTGTGCTACATGACCTATGTACATAATTCCTTTCATTTCTTTTTCCCCATTACTGGGGATTACACCCAGGCCTCGAGGGTGCTGCTCAGTGCTCTACCACCGTGCTACACCCTAGCCTTCGTTTGTGGCTGCCAGGTCTCCCACCTCCTTGATCGGGCATTCCTGCGACAGCCGCTCTTGGAGCTCCTTCTGCAGCTCCTTCCTGGTGCCCAGGGACTGCTGGATGCGGAGGAAATCCGAGAGCTCCTTGAGCCCCGCGTCAGTGAAGTACTTAGCAAAATGATCCACACTCTGCCTGTTAACGGGGAAGAGCTCCTGGAAGAGCGAGGGAAGAGGCTGTTACACAAGAAGCTATTCAAATTTCAGAAAGCATAAAGGGCAAAATTTTCATATCATAATACCACTGAAGATATATTTGGAAGAGAAGAAACAAGGACTGGTTTGCAAAACAAATCTCTAGGATATTTATTGCACCAAGCAACTTCTAAAGTGAAGCAGTTTTTCAAAGAGAGAATGTTAAGCTACTTGGATAAATTAGCTTCACTCATCTTGAGCTCTTCGTCCTTCTATTCCTTTCCTTTAATCAATGGGAGCATGTGTGAACACAGAACTAACGTTGCTGAATTATATACAAGTAAGATACTTTTAAATAATAGTTGAGTTGTTTTAAATTAAGAAAAACTGAAATCATTACATATCTGCAGTTTTCTTAACTACAAGCTGACAAGAGTCAATTAATGCTGAAATGACTGGATAATATTAGAAAACAACACTATTGTTCTCTTAAGGACTTTTATTGTCATTTTGAGAAAATGCTGCTATTATTCTAAAATACTAGCTCAGGAGCAACAGAGAATTTTGTCATTATCTATTAATGATGGTGGTTCTCAAACTCATAGTGAGTACCAATTCTTCATAATTTGGATGTAATTATTTTTTTTTCAAAAAAGAGCAATATACCATAGCTGCTTTCACATTTTCACCTCATTTCATTTTACCCTGCCAGCTTGGAAGAATCTCAGAAACATTTAGTCATGATCTAATCTTGTATGAGCTCAACACCCAACTATGAAATTAAGACAATTTTCAAAGTTCTCAATTTTCAAATAGCTAAAAAAGACTCAAACTTTATATTGGTTAGATTTGCATGTATATAGCCAAAGGCTATGCAGCTCCCATATAAGACTCAGTGGAGAGATCTGTAATGGGTTTGCCACCAAGTATAGGAACACTGCCAGAGGGCTTCTTTGCCAGGACTTAAATTACATATTCCCTATATTATCGTCCTATAATTGTCCTCGAGGCATGTGTTTCAAAATGTCAGAACAGAGTTGGTGGGAACAGCTATCAAATACAGTACACATTTATATTAAAGCAAATATTTCACAGCACACTGGAATTTTGTCACTAATATTTTCACTATCACTCAAGAGCTTCCAAATAAAGGGGAAGGAATGAATTTAATTTCATGGAGTTTCTTCTATGAATCAAAAAGACTTGGTACTTTCTACATAATAACTATATAAAGTAGAAATTTTTCTACATGATAAGCTCAGCCTCAGTAAAGTTTAGCTGCTTGACCCAGTTTATATATCTAGAAATATTTAAGGACAGAGCAACTGGCAGCAGAGGCAATGCTTATTTCACTCCTCAGTCTGGAGCTCCATATTCTGTTCAGAAGAGTGTGACTGCAAAGCGTGATCTAAAGTTAGGCTCAGTGCAATATGCTGTCTGACATACTACTCATAGTTTATGAAGTACACCCAAAGTCCTTATGAATGCTATGTAATATCCTGAAAATTATTATTCAGATTAAACTGAGGCAAAGCCAGTCTCAATCAGACTGTGTCATTCTGTGGCTTGGAACATGGTTTGTATTTGTTGGAAAAACCTATTTTGTTTTCAGTTGTTTGTTTTGTTTTGTTTTGTTTTGTTTTGTTTTGAAGTACTAGGCACTGAACCCAAGGCCTCACCTAGGCTAGGTAAGCATTCTACCACTGAGCCACATCCCCAGCCCTTTAAAAAATTTTATTTTGAGACAGGGTTTCACTAAGTTGCTCGGGATGGCTTTGAACTTGTGATCCTCCTTCCTCAGCTTCTTGAGGAGCTGGGATTACAGGAGTGCACCAGCACACCTGGCAACAAAAAAACCTTACTTTGGTATAAAGCTCTGTCCTTTCATCTCTAGATTAAGGTCTCTCTGCTGTTGCCCTTGTTCCTGACAGTTCCAACAGTGACAACCACAGTGACTAAGAATCTAAAGCACATTATACACACATTTTGCAAAGAGTATTTCAAAAGCTTCCATGTCACTTGCAGTAAAGTCAGTGCCCAGATGACATGGGCTAGGTCCTTCTCTGAGCTGATCTACTCTTTGCTGCTGTCTTAAGGCCCACATGTTTTCTTTCTTTTTATACTTCACACTCCCTCACCTTTTTTAAGTCTTAGCACAAACGTTGCTTTATCACACAGGTCTTCCCTGGTCCTGGCAAACTGCTTCCCATATTCATATACATGCTTTAGCTTTTCCCAACATCATTTTTGCCATCATTTATGATGATACACATTTCACTTGCCTATTTAGTTCACTGCTCAGTCTCCTGGAGTAGAATGTTTGCCCCTGAGGGAGTGTGCTTGTTTGCTTCCTGTCAGTATCCCTAATTCCCAGAAATATTCAAGCAAAATATACCTGAAATTTACTTATTAAATAAATAAAGGACAACAGCAACTTCTTCAATTTCTTAATCACTCGTTGCTCCCTTTTTTAGTAATGGGGGAGCTTTTTCCATTCTCACTTCTTTCCAAACTGTGAATTTTTCTTCTATGCTACATTAGTAGATTGCTAAGATCTGATAATATGCTACTTTTCTAAAATGTAGTAGCTCACAGTTAAAGAGAATTTTACTGTATGTCTCCATGAACAAATATTTCCTCCTTAAGGATGGAACTGAGGCCCTAGTTCCTCATGCATGCACTCAGTCGGCTCACATCTGCAGGCAGTCCAGGACCTGACCTCACCCAGCTGGTAGAACCACCACATATGCATCTCATCCCCCAAATACGTGACCATGCAGATAACCCTGCTGCTGTTTATCTGCAAGGAGGCAGTGGGTTGAATTTTCCCACTCTATTGCCAGGCTGGCCAGTGACTTCCTTTGGCATACAAAGAGGGGTGGATTTGGACGCACTTGAGAGGCTCAGGTCAGTCTCTGTGTTCCTGTCCACTGCCATGAGCACAGAATGCCCCAGATGGGAGCTGCTCCTTCTGTCTGAGCCCTAGAATGAAGACATATGGAACCCAGCTGGGCCTAACCAAGATGCAGCTAACCCACGGGCAACTCAGGCTAGCGGACAAGAAATATGTTTGGTTTATTTATTCATTTTTCATAACCTTTGCTTCTATTTATAAGGATCTGTCCTAAATCTTCCAGAAAGTGGGCTCTAGGAGGGCAGGGAAATTTGCTTTCTTTTTTGGTGGTGCTGGGGATTTAAACCCAGGACCTCACACACGCCAATCGAGAGCTCTACCACTGAGCCGCATCCCTGGGGACTCTTCCTATTCTGTACCAGCATCACAAGTTCTAGGATCATGCCTGGCACACAGCATGCACTCAATATGCTAAATGAAAATTATTACTGCTAGCAGAAATCAATTAAAATCTAGGCTACAGGTTTCTTCTTTATCACGATGTAAAGACAAACCTCAAGAGACAAAGGAATTTTAAAATGATAGAAAGTACAAGTATTTATACTGACAATTATTTTCAGGTTCTCTTGAGAAAAAGAGTTTTAGAACTACTAGCTGGATCAGCGCCCTTCCACACATACTACAAGGCAAAAGCAGACAACAGACTGGTGAAGAGAATATGGCAGGGGTGTCTTAATTTTAGACTCTTAGAATTGCAAAAGCAGCTCCACTGGGAGAAACACTTATTATCTGCACAGCCGATGTTTCTAGTAGAAATTGCAGGGTGCAGGCAGAAAGTATAAAAACAAAAAAATAATTTTCTTAACTTTCTTCAAAAACTACAAAGATGGAAAAATAAAAATATAATTAAGCACTTGTGATCATGAAAGTTTCAAATTAACTACGATTAATTTGTTTGCTTTCTTCAGTACCCTATTTTCAATCTTGTTTAAACTCAGATTTTATCAACAAACTATTTAACACGTTTGAGATCAGTGTAGTCTCACTCCTGCCCAAGACATTACAAGTATCTCACTTTGAGGGACTGACAGAATTTCTCCCCTCTCAAGTGCTGGGAATCACACCCAAGGCCTTGCATATGATAGGGAATTTAACAAAATCACATTAAAGCACCGATTTCCATACAGTTATTGGTTACCAAAGAAAGTTTAAATCCTGATAAAATGTTAGCATCTTATAGAAACTAACTTTCAGATCTGAAAGTCTTTCCATTCCTCGTGGTCCCTTAAATTTTTCAGGTTGTTTATTTACCAAAGATGGAAATGAAATTAGTTTCTTTTGACCAATTATATAAAATTAAAAGAAATGCATTCCCATTTCAGCACCAGCTCAGGCTTCTGAGTCGTCTATTACACTACAGGAATTGCCAAAGCCCTTGCAGGAGCATCGTGCTCACAACCATTCCCCCCTCTTTCTTTTTTTTAACATGAAAACACTTACAAGCAGCCTCTTGTCCAAGTTGGCTTTTCTCAAGGATGAGGTAACAGAGTTGGCATCTTTTTCTGCCATCCAGGCTTTAAAAAGCTTGACAGCAAATGAGGCTGCAATGCCTGTTTAAAAAAAAGAAGAAAATATCATTCTTTGAAGAAATAAAACCACTTGGCAACGTTTCTTACTAGGTTTCCTAAAATGGGTAAATAACTAAAAGACTTGATTTGATACAAAGGGAAAACAGATAGACCTGTAGGCATAGTTTTTTTCTGTTCATTACTACAAACAACATCTCACGAGAAAGAAAAAAAATAAAATACTTTTCAAAGCATACTTCCTGATTCCAAGTTGGTAGACTTTAATTATTTATGTGTTTATTTTCACTTGGTCAAAAACCTATTTGAAGCTCAGGGTCTTCAGTCCTCTGTCACCCTGTGGTTCACAAGTATTTCATGTTTGTGATGGTGATCATCCCTATTGGCTTTCTGAGCAGCACCATGGCAGGCTGCAAGACTAAACGCCTAGTAGAAGGCAGAAAAAAAGGAACCAAGAAATCAGTTGATCTGTCTTCTAAGAAACCTTAGTATAATGGGAAAGCACTCACTATTTTCAATATAAGAATTATTGGAAAATGCTAGGCATGGAAGTCAAGGAACCAAAATGGCATCTGATGGCCTCAAAGGCCCTGTATTTGAAATGAACCTTGCTGATGTGAAGAACAATGGGGGTGAGTTTAGAAAATTCATGCTAATTACTGTGGATATTCAAGGCAAAACCTGCTTGACTTACATCCATGGCATGCATCTTAGCCATGACAAAATGTGTCCAATGTTTAAATAAAAAAAAAAAAGCAGACCATGATTGAAATTCATCTTGATATCAAGACTACTAATGGTTATTTGCTTTTTTGTTCTGTGTTGGTTTTACTAAAAAGTAACTGCAACTATCAGATATGGGAGAATTCTTATGCTTAGCATCAACAGGTCCATCAAATCCAGAAGATGATGGAAATCACAACTCAAGAGGTACAGACAAGTGGCTTGAAAGAAGTGGTCTTGGGAGCCGGGGATTTAGCTCAATGGTTCCACTGCCTGCCTCGCAAGTGAAAGGTCCCGAGTTTAATTCCTGGTACAAAAAAAAAAGAAGTGGTCTTGGCTTCCAGACAGCATTGGCAAAGACACAGAAGCCCTATTTGTGAAAACAAGCAAACAAAGCAAACAGCACAATAAAAACCATAGGACACAAAACTGCAATGTCAACAGATGGCAACTAGTTTGGTGATAAGAGAGAGCAGTAAAAGATTAATAGTAGCTGACAGTATAACTACAGCTGCACATGCATCTTCATTTTATGTTTCTTTTTTAGAAAAAAGTATTTTAACATATTTATGAGTTACACTATAAACAGGCTGCTTCAAAATAAACACTTTTTAAAATCTTTTCCCTGGAGATTGAACCTAGAGCCTTCACACTAAACTACATACCCAGCCCTTTTAAAAATTCCTCAGTAAGTCACTAAGTTATCTAGGTGGAACTCAAACTTGTAATCCTCCAGTCTGACTCTTCCCGAAGTGCTGAGATTACAGGGATATCAATGTGCTTGGGTTTTGTGAGTTTTTCTAAGAAGTATTTATGCTAATTGGAAACCACTGAATCACATACCCACATTTAATTATGACTTATTTCAAAATATAAATAATCAGAAAACTAATAGATGGCTCTTCTGTCAGCACTTCAAATTTCTAAATTTACATTTCATTTATTGAAGAGTTATGGAGTACTTGAAATATTTAACTGATTTTCCTGAATTGAAGTTTTCACCTAATAATGGTTGGCTAAGCAGCCTTTATTCTCCGTAACAGAAAACTCCCATTTTGTCCAGGCCAGGTGGCTTCTGATTGGTCCAAGTCCTGGCAACACCTTCTTAGGCACAAATTAGTGTGAAGACCTCAGGCTAATCTCATTTGCCCACACCATCCCTTTGGTAATTGCTATTGGGCCAGCACTGGTCATGTGGCCTATGTCAGCCAATTAACATCTTTATATGCCAATTTCACGCAAGTCTTCCAGGTACTTGCAGATGAAAGCATTCAATCCATTTATCATTTACACTGACACAAACTCTGCCTGATTTTTTTTTCAAATGAATAAACAGAGGAACTAAGTTAAAATAAAATTATGGCTAGGACAATAAAAGATCTACTTTAAGCCAGAGAATTTTAAGATAACAACTTACTACATGGATTTATAGTGTTATTAGTTAATAAATCAGTATTAAAATTCAATGTAAATTTATATAATTAAATCATATTAATACTAAGCTGTAACATATCTCATAAGTAAAAAAAAAAACTGTGGTCGAAAATAGTATAAAAATCTAGATTTAAACCTATGACTCTGCATTAAGGGCAGCAGCTCTTGGTGAAAAGTTTGGGAAATTTCTTTGTAGTCATTCTTCCAGCAAGTGGAATGACCCTACCCCCTTAACCATTTGCTGGATAGGAGATAGGAGGAAAAGAATTTCTTTTTTCTTTAATTAATTTTATTGGTACAATTTAGATATAGATAACGATGGCACTCATCATAGGGAAGATAATTTAACCCATTCTGAAATAGCAAACAAGTGTTTAAACCTCTTGTTTCTCAAGATGGTACAGTACAAGGAAAAACAGTATGTCACAAGTACTACAAGTGACTTCCACAGAAAAGGCATTTCCCCCCTCAATATTTAACTTTATAATTCAAACATATAGAAAAGTTGAACAAAGTGAGCCATACACACACACACACATTCTAGATTCTACAACTATTAATGCTTTGCTATATTTACTTTATTCCCTATCTGTCCATCTCTCCATATAATTTACTTTTTGGGCATATTTCAAAGAAGGCTGCAGAAATTATTTTGAGTTTTTAATGCAACCGGGACAGTGATTATGTTGTAATGGCTAGGATAATTTAATATTAATAATGTTCAAGGTTTAAATTCTTTGTGTGTGTAAAATGGCTAAAAACCAGAAAGATACGTGAAATACCATGAGTTTTCCTGAGAAAAACACATTCAAATGTCCTAAGACTAACAACAGACTAATACTAATTACAGAACATGGACTGTCACAAAGATGAGCCATTTTAGCTAGCGTGCTGCATTAATCTCAGCAATCTGGGAGACTGAGGCAGGAGGATCAAAAGTTCAAGCCCAGCTCGGGTAACTTAGTGATGTAGTGAGACCATGTCTCAAAATAAAAAGAATAAAAAAAGCTGGGGATGTTGCTCAGGGAGAAAGCCTTGGATTCAGTCTCCAGTGGGGTTGAGGGTGGGTGGGATGGGTGGGCGTTTTATAGAGACTCTCTGAATAATACAATTTGACTCTTAACTTACTGTATTTTTTTCTAAGCTACGAGAAAGCTATAACCCCTTTCACTACAGGCATGAATGACGGTGGGACTTCATGTGTGTAGGAGGAAGACTTTTAAGTTCTTAGAATTAACAGATGTTCAGACAAAAGTTACATTAGAAAAATAACTGTTTTGTGTTGCATTATAATTTGAATATCATTATCCTCCTACAATTTAATAGCCTAGTTTTGTTTTACTCTGTGAGCAATCATTGTATGCACGCCTGTCCAATTCTTAGAAAAGCCTCTTTGTGCAGCAAGCGCTGACTTCTTCCTAAAAGTACTTATGGTGTGTAAGACAACAGAGGTCACAAATGTGAGCAAAATGGGCTCCTGAGAATGTTTCCCCAAATCTTGGGAGGAAACTGTTCAGGAGAGTGGCCATGTGGGGGTGGGATATTTTTTTAATCTGACAGGGTATTTTTTGATTGTTACATTTTAAAAACAATTTTTAAAATTTTATTAGTATGTTTGCAATTCATGCAGTTTACAATCATCTTGGGGAGTGGTTAAATGTTTGTTACATTAAAGGGGAGCCAGTGCTATTGGGACTTAGGTACAAAAAAATTAAAGACTGTACAAAGCACAAAGCTTCACTGCTCAATGGAGCACTTTCCTCCTAAGTGTGGGAGGAGCATCTCAGCTGAAAGAAATGGCCTGGACCTGCTACTGCATTCAATCTCCGCACTGAGATTTTGTTTCTTTGCTTGTTTTTGGTGGTACTGGGGAGAGAACCCCAGTCCTGTGCATGTGGAGCAAGCAGTGAACTGCTGGGCTAAATCCCAGCCTTCTCATTTTATTTTTAGACAAAGCATTGCTAAATTGTCCAGGCTGGCCTCAAACTTGTAATCCTCCTACCCCAGCCTCCCAAGTGGCTGGGATTACAAGTATAGGGTCCCACACCTGGACACAGTGAAGCGTAAGATTTTAGTCTCTGTCTGTGTAAGGTTGTGCATAATTTTCTTCTAATTTCTTACCGTGAGCACATGCACTCTTTTTATTACTTAAAGACTCCCCCGCCTCCCACGGAGGACCAGCAGTAGAGAAGGCTAACAAGAGGTACTGGTATTTTTCTATTTACGGCTTTCCTTTTCTTTCACAGGTGATGGGTGAGAAACCGGCAGTTACCTTCTTTGACTAAGCTGTCGGTGAAGAGGCTGGTGAGGATGGTGGCAGGAAGGGTGCCGTTACCCAGCAGGATCCCGGACAGCATCGCCAACTTTGTCTGCTCTGTTTCGGAAAAGGCTTTAAGGAAGAGGAGAAGCTGCGGGTCAAACAAAAGAAACCATGTCTATAAAGCAAGGGACCAAAGTTGGAGAGCACCAAGCAGAGTGCACACCCAGCTATCCAGGGACACGCACACGTCTAGTTACCTACGCGTCCTCTCGGAAGCAACGTTACTAGACACTGCGCCATTACTGTGTTCACTCATACATGGCTGTGAGTATTTAAGGAAAGAAAGGACACGTGGAGAAGAGTGTGTAGCATTTACATGGAGCACATATAAGGGATGACCAAAAGACATGGTGAATGTTAAAGAATGGTGAAATTAAAGCTCTTCTAGTAAAACACACTGCTAACAATGGGGTGTGTGTGTTACAAGCGAGGGGGAGTATTTTAAGAGTGATTAATGGCAATGTGTTTTTCATTGTAATACGTTTTTAAATATATATATATATTTTTTTTGAGACAGGGTCTCACTATGTAGTTCAGGCTGGTCTCGAACACGTGGTGATCTTCCTGCCTCAGCCTTAAATATTTAAACATTCATCTTATTTTCTGATCCTATCACATACATGAAAAAGGGTAAGAATACACAACGCGCATAATGATTTCTGCAATACACTGATTTTCACATGTTTTTCAGTTATGGTGATATACCCCCAGGTGTAACTGTCTTTTTTTGGGCGGGGGAGGGGATAGAATTCTCATGGCAAGAAAACAAAACCAAGGCCCAAACCACCGCCATCATCGACAACAAAACAGCAAAGAATCCATGGTGTTTTGGACATCCTATATTCACTTTCCTGAGCTCACAGGATATAACAATGTTCAGAGTAAGAATGCTGAAATAGGAAAAGGTTTTTTAAGTTCTTGATTTTTTAAAAATACTTAGATCCAAAACATGCCATTTATTGATGTCACAGTGTCACCACCACCCTTGGTGATGAGGGCAGTGGAACACGCGCAGTCAAGGAAGCTCTAACCAGGCTGTGGTCTTGCAGTGTGGGCTCGACACAGTAATTCTGGCCTAAGAGTGAGTGGGGGTGGGGGGTGTTGCTTGGGTCTTCTGGGTCCCTGTGTTCCAATCCTTCTGCCCAGTAGTGAAGGGAACCAAAAAGGGGCAACTCTAGAAGGTCTGAATGGGCGCCAAAAGCAAATGGGATTACTTTGCATTTTGAATGTTAAGAGTGATCGGACTTGTGGGTCACCCTCTGTTTTCCTAATTCTCCCCTGCTATGTGCTTTGACTATGTGCTTTTTCTCCATTCTATCACTTCTTAAGCATGGTACTACTGCGTTCTCCTGGGATGATAATTACTCAATACAGGGACCTGCTGGTCTTTTCATCATTTGGCACCAATGAAAAGTCACCAGCATCAATACAGACTTAGGTATTTACATGTTAATGACATGATTCTTCTGGTAACCGTGAGGTAGGTAGGGCAGTATTAATGTACTATCCCCCAACAGCTGAAGAATCATTACAGGAAGGTTGTGTGACTGTCTAAATATTTACATTATGAATAAGTGGCAGAACTAGGATGAACACAGTCCAGCTGACTTTCATCTATACTTATTAAATTTTCAACAAATTAAAAATTCCCTAAGAGCCGGGAGTGAAAGAGTGAGAGTAACACAGATCAAAGCTCCACAGAGCGTCAGGAGCACATTAAAAGAGCGCTCATTCATTTAAAAAATCTATTTAATCATGCATAATAATTTTAAATAATCACTGTTCAATGGATCAATATTATAATCATGTTGTTCAACAGAGATGGCTCTAAAATATAGAAACACGATACAAAAGAAATCCTTCTCAACAGCTTTATTCAATACATGAATAAATAGCTAGGGGCATTTTCAAGGTTCACATGAGCTGAGAAGTGGAAACATAAGTGGTAATAGTAGAGAAAATGTTTATTTGAACTTTTACAACATTTTTCTATTTTTATTTATTTATTCAAGTACTTGTTATTTTCTGAGCCCTAGGCAGGTGAGTGAACAATTTTCCCCCATTTAAAATCTTTCCATATAAAAATTAGTATATGGTTTCTGAGTGAGATCACATAATGTAGTATAATATAAAGATGTGAAAAATACCCTGTAATCAAACTCCCTTAGAATTAACATTATTAAGTTTGATCTGCGTTCTTCCAGAGTTTCTTTTTTGGTACTGGGGATCGAACTCCAGACCTTGTGCTTCCAAGACAGGTGCTGGAACCACTGCGCTAAATCCCCAGCCCTCTTCCAGATTTGTAAGTGCACAAATATATCTACACATACATATGCTTTTATATTATAATACACTGATAGAAGTAAAAACTTGTTGGGGACTTCCAGGAAAATGGCAGAGTGGTAAGCAGCAAGAAGTAAAAACTTGTTGAGTGAACCAGATACACTTCTGATCACACTTTCTGTGCATGAACATCTACAACAGTGCTATGACATAGTTTGAATGTCACCCAAGGATTTGCATATTGAAATTTAATTCCCATTGTGAGATATTAAGAGGGAAAGAACTTAATGCGACTATAATATACAGCGGTGGGGCCTTCAGGAAGTGATTAGGGTTAGACAGTCACAACTGAATCCTGGGTGCTTGGTATGAAGGAGAGAGACCAGGAGAGACCAGAAGCTATACATGTACATACGCATTCCCCATCTCCTGCCATGAGATGCCCTGAGTGAATACAGGACTCTGCCAGCAAGAACCTCAACCTGGGACCGGCAGCACTCAACCTTGGACTGGCAGAACCATGCGCTGAAATAAATTTATTTTCTTCATAACTCACCCAGCCTATGCTATTTTGTTAGTGGCTACAGAAAATGCACTAATATAAATAGCTTCAATCCCTAATTAAAGGCAAGAAAGCAGGAACAAAGAAATTACCTCGATCAAGGTCAAACTACTACTAAAGTTGTTGCTCTGCACCTTGCTTTTTCATTTAATTTCTATTTTTTTTTTTGAGAAAGGGTCTCACTTTGTCATTTAGGCTGGGCTTGAACTCACTATGTGAGACTGGCCTCAAACTAGCGGGAATTCTCCTGCTTTAGCTTCCTGAGTGCTGAGATTACAGGCAGGTACTACCACACCCTTCATTTAATTTATTATGGGCATTCCTCCTTATCAATTCTTGTAGCTGAGCCTCATTCTTACAAGACTGCTTAATGTTCCTTCCAATATATGGATAATCTATAACCAGTGTCCCCTCAATGAACACTTAAGTTATTTCTCAATTCTGTGATAAACATCTTTATACATATAGCTTTACATTATACCTACTGTTCATGAATATCTGGAATCTCTAGTTTTCATTTTAAGCTCTGTGATATTTAAGATCATAATCTGTAAAACTATTCCTATTAAACAAAGCACTGTCTCACATTAAATATTAATAAAAAAAAGCCCAGGAAAATCACATACTTCTTCCTTTGGCATTTAGCTAATGCTTTGTCACACTAAATCATTTATTTAACAAGCTTTTATTTAAAACTCATAATGTCCCCAGCACTCCTGGACTATCACTGTGAGTGTGTACCCTTCTATTCCACCACTTTAAACAGGCAGGCATTACAATTCAATTTCTTACCTTTTTCATTTCATCTTCAAACGCCTTTTCCAAATACTTGTATCTCCTGATGAGTTTATTGAAGACCTAAGCATAAAACAGAAAATATTATGTAAACAACTTAAAAATCCATAGAAGTGTAGAAGTCATCTTAATTACTATAATAACAAAGTATAAACATATTCATAGAGAGATATAAAGGCTGTAAGCATTTTAAAGGTGTTCCTATGATTTAGGCAAAAAATAAAATCAAGACCATCTAAAGGATGAAACTAATTCACTGAAGAAAAGAACAGGTAGAGAAACCAAAAATAATGTTGATGAAAATAAAAATGAATAGGATTTTTAATGTGTGAGACACAGAGACTGAAAATAATAACTAAAATACAGGGGTCATATTCACGTAGATGGAGACACACTCGGGAAGAGAGCACTTTCAGGCAGATCATACTCTAAGTGGGTGTCAAACATGTTGTTCACAGATGAGTAAAAATACTACTGGACTAACAATAAAGATTACTGGCCTCATGCCCAGGATGTGCTGCTGTGACAATTAAATTCTAGACTGTATGAAAGTTGAATTTTTAATTTAAATGAACATCTTGTAAATATTTTTAATACCTGTGGAAATGCTTTCTGAATATAGTTCCTTTCTCTTATATCCAAATGAATTACTCCTACCAATTTTTGGTGAATTTCTTAATGCAATTAAGATGGAGCTCAGAAGTAAAAGTTATACTAGTCCTTTGTGGGAAAAGAATAATGAAGTAGGCAGGGAATTGATATGAAGTAAAAAACAAAATTGCATTAAAATCCTACACATTTGATTTCCAACTGACACCAGCACTTACTTGTTTCTTTAAGTGATTATTAATAGGAAAAATAATTCTCTTTATCCAAGAATGATTATCTAAATACCCACAGGTAAATGTCTATGTAAGAGAACAAAAGTCATCGTTTTTACAAAAGCATTTTCCAATGAGCCAACAGCTTTTATGATTTATCTTCCCTCAAATATCCTTCCCATTTATGTAATCTCTCTCTGCTTGATGGCCTCATTCACCAGGTTTTTCTGTCAATCTGTAAGTATTCAAAGATTTTTTGTTTTTGTTTTTTTGGTACCAGGGATCAAACTCAGGTCCTTAGTATTCAATGATTTTTAAACTCAAGCAAGGTATCAAATTGTTTTCTCTTTCAAATACCTATAATCCAAATGAAAAATAAAATCATTTGTAAGAAGAAACCATTCAATTTAGATATAATGAAGAGGCAAACTTCATTATCTTTTTGTTTATAGAAATAGCTGTACTGATTTTTTTTTTCTAGGTCTTCTTTTCTTTCCTTCCAATGGAATTCAAATAATGAATAATATACCTTTGTCTGTATTAATTTGGCCCTGAAAAAATTCTATGTGGAAGGTAAGAGCCACTATTATTTGGCAGACCTGGCAATGGCTACTAAGTATTCAGATTCACGATCTGAATTTAGAAATTGTGATACCTTGTGAACTGCCCTTATCTAATACACAAAAAGATGACTGCAACAATTAAAAGCATCAGCTTCTGAACTGAGGGTATTTACTTCAGTATACTCCTTCTCACAGTGTTTACAGTTATTACATACTACCAGAAACAAAGATTTTCAGAGGATAGATTAGAATCTGGCCCACTCAATTCTGTCTACTTAATCTTTTGTACCATTTAAAAGTATTTCCTCTGGGCATGGTGGCACACACCTACAATCCCAGCACTTGGGAAGGCTGGGGCAGGAGGATCACTGTGAGTCTGAGGCCAGCCTGAATTATATAATGAGACCCTGTCTCAAAAATAAAATTCTTAGTTTTTGTGTCAATTTCTTAAATATAAAAAAGGGAAAAGAAATCTTTGCTAAAATAGCATATAATTAAAAATGTCTAAAGTTTAAATTGTTAATGGCTTTATATCCCAAATTACTTGCCTTCATATGCCTTGCACATTTTAATAACTGAAGGAAAGACAGTCTCTAGCATCTGAAATTTTACCACTTAGCAGTGGTTAATTCCTATGGCCTTTCCCATCTCATGTACCGAAATGAGTATGCAAGAAGATTTGTGAACCCGGGGCTTGCTCATTTCATGGTTTAGCTGAGAATAACTGATGTTAGACCACAGGAACATGCCAACCCTACTCTAGCTGGGTATAATGAATGCACTTATGCTCAGCTTTAAAAGGTAATGTCTAACATATTGTTCCATGTTACGTTCCGACCACTTCTAGTCCTTCATTAGGACTATTGAATACCTGATTATTTACCAAGAAAATGCATATAAAACAATCTGACTTTAGTAAGGATTTCTTTAGTACCAATGAGATCAAACATGTTTTCATATATGGGGGGGGGGTTCTTTTGAAATGCCTGTATGTATCTGTTCCTTACAGATGGTCTTCATAACTTATTGTCTTGCAGTTTTCACTTAATCTAGATATGAACCTTTTATAGCTCTAACACAATACAAAACCCTCTTGCCTCTCTTTTTCATAGTTATACGGGAATCTTTATTAATACAAGTTGCCAAATTGTACTTAGTCTTCTATTGATTTTTTTTTTTGTTTTCTTCCTTTGCTACTTCAGCCAATGCTAAATGGCTATCAGCGTTTGTGGCATTTCACACATGTGTAAGCACAGCTACAGAATGATGTCTTAGAACTGAAACTGCTGAGCCAAAGGGAATGTGCAATCATGTTTTGAAAGACATTACTTTCCCTAAAGAGAGAACCAGTTCACTGTCCCACTGGACATTGCTGTGTGTACCTGGTGCCCTATATCCCTGACAGGTGAGTGGTTAAAAACAGTTTTATGTAGTGTTCAAGCCCGCTATTTTACTATGAAAGTAACTGAGTATCTTTTCATATGTTTAAGAGTTAGTTAACATCCTATTATAAAAGTGGGCTAGAGAGTTTTGTTTTCCTCAATCCTGTTCAACTGCTTCCCTTGTAAACCAATGGCAACCTCTTAATATCAGGCTCTACCTGAGCATAGTTTCGGATGGTTTCGTGATCTTCATTTGCTGAAAACACACAGTGGTTGGTCATCTTGGTCTTGTCACCGTCATCTATGCGTGTTCCTCCAGGGGCTGAAAAGAGAAAATTACATTTAGTGCAACAGCCAAAGGAGAAAAGCATTTGCAGAACACAGCACTTTCTGCATCCAGAAAAACAAGATGTGAACTATGAGTGTCAAAATTCCGGGGAATGTTCCTATGTAAATATATTACAGGTTGCTGTGTACTGATATTTCCAACATAATACAAACTGGTTGTTCTATTTCACATGCCAAACATAGCATATAACATTGTTGTTCCATATTCTTACATTCTCCCTATCCTATCATTATGAATCTGGTTATTTCCAAAGCATATCTTTAACTATGGAAGCTAAACAGCAACCATTATTCAGTAAATTTAATTCGATCAGTCTCAGCTCAATTCCTGATACTACTTGTGCTAGGACACAGTTTTTCGGGCTTGATAATGATTTGTCAGATTCCGCTTCACCCACCTATGAGATTGGTGAGATCTAATAGACCTCACTGGCTTCTACTCGGGTAGGTATTAAAACTGTTCCTTCTTCACAAACCCAGTTATCCATGCACTGTTGAACAGCATGTTCTCTGCCACTCTGCCATTTGTATTTGCTCATCCAACAGCTGCATTGGCTAGGAGAGTATTTTATTCTCCCTTATCTTTCTTCTTCATGGACTAAACTGACTAGAACAAATGATGCCTTTTTCTCTACAATTCAATTTTCCACATTCAAGGGCTTCACTTTTAAGTTTTCAATGTTGGCCTTTGTAAGCACTGATTGATTAGAAGGGCAGAATCAGAACACAAGGTATTTTTGTTTTGATTCTATTCCATTATAATTAGAGTAGAAGTTTTGAGCAGGTCAAGTCAAAGTAGTATCTTTCATATGCTTAACAAGTACTTGTAGCATACACACTCACACTAGCTACTGTGCTAGGCACCAAGGATACAACAATGATCCAAGCTGAAAAGGCACAAGTTATCTGTTCACCACCACTCTTTCTATTTACTTGTAAATTTAAGTGCCTTGATTTAACTTGTGATGTCAGATTTTCAGATGAAAAGGGTTATATATAGCCACCTTTGTTGCAAATAGAAGCAAATGAGAATTCAACTGAGTTACATTTTCCTTAGCTAGTGCATCTTCTATGGGCTTCAGACTCCAGCAGTTTTGGAAATAAATTAGTTTTTAGAGAAGTCAGTTCCTTCAGGAGTCTATTTTCATTCAATTAAGTTATGCATGAGATTTAATTAGCCCCTTTTAATGAACATATCACCTGGAACATAATTTTGAGATGATGATCTTCTAAAAACTCTGGGCTAATTACTCCTATCTGATAAAAATTACATAACTGCAAAGCATGATTTTGAAAGGGTAGTCTGTTCTCTTAAAAGGTAAGTTTTAAAATTTGCGTCCATTTACATAACACTTGTTATATATGTATTAATTATACTGTTATAACTTCCATTTAAAATTATTTTTTCCTGATATTGGAACTAAGGATTATTTGCCATTTCTAAATGGCAACTTTTCTTTAGGCTGGAGTAAAAGATAAAATATTTCTTGTAGCTATTATACCAAGGGGAAAACTGAAAGACCAATACAGTTGTTGATTCAAGAACAATTAAGAGAAGACAAATGTTTTATAGGTGTAAAGAAAACTCCTACATAGTTGATAAAGTGCTTATATTGAAAGAATATAGCTGGCTGGTTTCATCAATTACATGATAAACCTGTACCCAGTGGGCATCTTGAGCTATACCAAACAGACTGTTCTACCCTCTTCTTGGAAGTACAAAGTGTGAGGAATGAAACTTGGACTGCAGAAATTAATCTGCTGATCACGGCAGATAAAGCCCTGAGATAATCTGTGCAAGATGTACAGATAATTTACCACCTACTGAGGAGTGAGTCAAGTCCAGTGGCATCCAGAGAAGCAGGAGGGGGCCTAGAGGTCTGGTGAGAGGGGAGAAAGTACAACAGCTCAAGAATGACAGAAGGGTCGACAGGGCTGCCTGGAGGTCATTCTCCTGAAAACACTGCATATGGCTTTTGTACTTGACCTGGAATTATGTACAGTGGCAGTGAGTGATTTGTATCAACAGTAACAACAGAAGCAATTCAGTATGTAGTAAAAATCAGTGAACAGGGGCTTGGTACCAAATGGGACCACGTACCAAGAAAGAAGGAGCGATGGTTATGGCAAAGAGGGCCAAGGCTTTGTGCAGCCTGTACACTGCAGGAACTGTGCCATTAAGACATCCCTCATTCAGGCACACTCTGAAGTGAGCGTCTTCACCACTTCTGGGCTTCCCAAGCTCTATGTGAGACACAGTATTGTGTGAGTTGGGCCATGTGCCCGCGGTCGGAACTCCACCTCAGAAGCCTCAAGGTAGAAAACACCCTTCACCCAATCTAGACCCCTGGTGCTGGCCCGCAACTTCCACCGAAGCCCATACAAGGGGCTAAGGCCTACAGACTGGGGAAAGCCTATCTCGGGGGAGGCCTACAAAAATGGAGAACATACTTGAAGTAACAGCTCAGAAGAGCTTCCACCTCAAAAAGAAGATATCAATATACCTTTGTCTCAAAGTCAAAAGATGGTTTAAGTCGTTATTTCTCAATAAAAGGCACAGATTTTGGGCAGGGCATATTTGCACTGTGTTATTTTTGCTTTGTGTAGCAGAGCAGGAAGCACACCTGGGCCCTACTCCCAAGTCTTTGTAACAATTACATTTGCAAAGATCCCTCAAACAATTGAAAATTGCAGGCCCAGGAAAATCTGCCACTCCTAGTGATTTATGGCTACCACGGAAACTAATTATTAACAAGTAAGATCTAAGAATGTCCAGCACAGGAAAAATGGGTGGTTATGATGGCTACCAAACATTTGGAAGAGCTGTTTAATTCACTTAACTAGTATTCTGAAGCCTTCTTCCTGAACACCCCTGCTCTGCAATACACAACCTTTATTTTGCTGTCAGCAGCCTATAACAATCACCAATCTTCTATCTTTAATCCATCTATGTACAGTGTTCGCAGTTGAAAGGATTTTTTTAAAAACTAGGCATAATCTATATTTCTTAGCTAGTTTGTTATTTACGAGTGAAATGGCATTGACAAAACTTCTGAAAGTGGGGTGAGTTCAAAAGAAAAGCTACCCTGTGTCATGTAGGCTCATTAAGCACGTTGAAGAACCTAGACGACACAGTCACACTCTTCTGCAGAACTGCCACTTTCGTGGCCCCTCTATAAACATTTAAGGATTAGAAGCACATGGGACAGTGGCTTTCAGTTAGAGCAAAGTGGCAAACCGCACTGTTATGTCAGCAGAAACCCTTCAATTCTATGTCTTTATGAACCAGCAAACATTTTAAACCTACATTAATAGCATTCCAAGTTGTAACTGAGGTACAAACTGTAGACTCCTATTTGCATTTTTAAATCAACTCTAATAAATGGAAGCTTATAAAGATTCTATCTTATAAGGAGGCATGACAATAGAATTGAAATATACAAGAAGATGGTACAATGCATGGCTTACCCAGCATACTGCCAGCCACCAGGATGTCAAAGAGTGTGTCTGCATAGCGACGATAATCTAATCTTGAGCCTGTGGAGTCCAGAAATTTGGCTACAGCTTCAAGGTCATCACCAGCTTCATTAAGCCCCTGGACAAGTGTATCCCTGAAGACTGTGGGTTCGAATTTCTCTTTTTCATCTAAAATTTTAAAAAATCGTAAGATTACTTCTTTATGTACATATCACATTCCCCAAAGAGACTGACCATGTTCCCTTTGTTCACCATTGTTTCTTTGATAGAGTGATTATTCAGAAACTGAAGGATAATTTAAGTTTTTCCATCAGCTTTCCATGTTCCAAAACATCTTGTTTAAACATTTACCCAAGCAATAGTATATTCCTGTTCAAAGAGGCCACAGAAATAGTTTGACTCTCTAGCTCATAAGTAATAAAATTAATGGCTATTCATTTATGTCATTTGTAGGTTAGGGTCAATGTGAATTACTAACTCTAACCACCTGAGAAAAAACAGTGTAACAAGAAAGTTAAAATACTGTTTCATCCAAGATTGAGAAAGAAAACGACCAGAAAATCACCAAAGAATATAGGAGAAAATAAACATAAGCAAGGATTTACAGGGAGGAAATGAGGACTACCTGTCTTATAAGACAAATAATGCTAGCAAGTATGTCAGTATTTAGTAGGATACAGTATGAACTCTGTATGCATGTTCATGGTTTTGGAGCAGAGTCTCAGCTCTGTGCCTTCCTGGCCCCTTGACATTCTTACACAGCACTGAGGATTCCAAAGCGCTCTTTGTTCATAGAGATTACATCCATGGTGACTTATTTTACTAGACTTTCAGCTACAAAATTTCAGAATATTTATTAATCTTTTTAATGTCGTGGTTAATAAGTAGGCAGATGGATTCTTACATCCACTGCATTCAAGCTAGCCCAATATCACACATTCTACAGACTGGAAGACTCCTCAGTAAACTCATGGGAGAATATGTAAGAAGTAAGTAATATCTTAGGATTATTATAAAAATGGTTTTAATTTTGAGCATCTCTTGAAAGGGCCCCAGAGGACTTAAGGGAATATAAATATAACACAGCCTTCTATCCTCAAAGAACACTGATAAAACAAATACAGAACAATCACAAAGGTGTAGGTTAAAGGTGTTAAGTGAAGTGCTACAGTGAGAGAAGTGGCTTCGGGGTGTGGTGAGGTCAGGAATCGGGAAGAGTTTTGGTCTCACCTCTAGAGATACAGAACTTTAAGTGGGATGCTGACTTGGAGCCAGAAGATAAGAGGAAGAGGAGAAAGGGAGGAAGAGGGAGGGACAAGCACTATAAAAAACTTCATGAATAAAAGTGAGTCCTTGGAAATAAAAAAAAAACTGAAAAAAACTCAATGAAACAACTGACAAGAAAGCTGAGAATCTCTGTTAGAAACTAGAAAAAGGTCAAAGACCTAGAAAATAAGAACAAAAAGGGCAGACCAGTTAAATGTCCAAATAAAAGGTATGGCAAAAAAGACAGAATTTGTAGTTGTTGTAAACATTTTTAAAAAGTTTCACAGAACTGAAAAATGTCCAAATAAAAGGCTGCTTGAGTACCCAGCATAAGAACTAAAGTGCATACGCACTGCAATAGTTATATCCATCATCATATATTTCAGGAGACTGGGCACAAAACAACTATCTGAATTTTCTAGGACAAATAAAATAAAGCAAAATAAAAGAGCAACAACAAAAATAAGTCACACACAATATCAAGAAACAAAATGACACGAATTGCTCAACAGTTCATGAAGTATCAGAAAGCAGAAGAAATTTCATCAAAGTTCTGAAGAAAACAATTTCTAACCCAGAATCCTAGTTTGGCCAAACCTTAATCGAGGGTAAGAGCAAAGTTCACATATAGTGAAATATTCAAAGTCTCAAAAATGGAGAATAAGGAATAAAGTCAAGAGATCCTAGAAAAAAGAAAAGGAACCATGTAAAAGACAGGGAAACAGCATTCTTGTGGGAAAGTGTGAAAGGGGATTTCAAGCATTCTAAATTGACAGCTCTGCAGCTGGCTTAGACAGTAACCTGACCAGGAGTGAATTCTTACTACACAACACAACGTGATGAGATGGAAGAATTCCTTCAATAAACTACCACTGCTACAGTCCCTAAAAGTGCTTTGTATTAAGAGATTTACACAACAAAAGGAAAGGCTGACTAGTTCCAAGGCACAGGAAACTAAGCCAAAAGAAGATAAATTATTAAATTTATTTAATAGAGATAATGAAATAATTTCAAAAAAAGAAAAATAATCAAGTATCAGTTTAGCTGTGACTAGCATGTACAAGGGCATAATAACATAAGCCCTAAACAGTGGTCCAGCTGCAATTAGTATGGAATGAAAGAACAGAGTGGCAGAGCACAAGGTATACAAGAGGGCGTGGGCAGTGAAAGAGAGCTGACGCCTCAATTTCTCCAGTAGGAAGTGAGTATTTAAAGCCTCCCAGAAAAGCCAAGAGATAGCCATAGAAGAATGCTCTTTGGCAGCATGAACATAAAAGTCAAAGGCAGCAGTTAGAAGAGTTGAAAGAGTTCCTCTGGGAGTAGACATGCTGTTGTTATAACATGTCTTACAGAGCTATTTGACTCTTTAAACCATGTGATTGCATAATTTTGATAAAATTAAAACTACATTTAAAAACCAAACTGTCTGGTCTGTACAGACTGACTGCCTGGAGTTGTCTAACACAAGGGATGGGTTATAAAAGTGGTTAACACCGCTTACATCAGCCCCCGACCCAGAGAAGAATGGCATTCCCAGTACCAGTTGGAGTCACAGGGCGTGAGACGCCACAGACACACATAAATTAACTGGAACAATATTTGTCATACACAAGAGATAGAAGGGCCTTTTGATGCCATAAGGAAAACATTATGCAGCCAAGGACATGCTAATATTGATGGGGGGGGGATAATTAGGGTCCATTTGTGAGAGGGGGAAGGGAAATAGATAAGAACTCCTGCAGAATGTATTCTGTGGGGCTGGGGGAGGGGGCAACTGTATCTCTAAGCAAGAGGAACCCACTGGCAAGCAGAGATAACTTCAACCTTATTCAGGATCTGGCCAAAGTGGAATTTTTCCTCCTGGGAGAAAGACTTTTTTTTTTCCTTTTCTATGAGAATATAGGAAGTGAAAAGACCACAGGCTGTTTATTAAATCTTCCAACCAGCTTCCAAAGTCAACTGAGGCCATCCCCACCAACACACTACAAGTTCGGATCAAGTGGTAGATCAGATTCTGATGATTTGAAAATTATGACTTGAGACAATGGGAATATAAGTAGGGTAAATGAAAAAAATACAGGCTATGCTGAGAATCTCTATCAAAGACTTTGTTTTGAATTTAAGAGACAAATTTAAAAACTTGTGATTCTATTCCCATTAATATTGCCATTATAATTTTCCAAAAGAATTACCAGGGAAGAGGAAAAGTTAAAGAAAACATATCATGACCAAGGATACTTTAACAGTGAGCAATAAAGCATTATGTCAAAATGATCACATATATTGACTATCTTAGAAGATATGATGGCATCACAGAATATCCTTTTGTATGCTGAAAAAAAAAAATCTCCCACCTGTAAAGACAGTCTCCATGAGGAAAAGAAAACTCCTACACTAGAAAATGGTAAGAGGGCCGGAGATTTAACTTAGGGGTGCCACTGCCTGCCTCGCAAGTGCAAGGTCCCAAATTTGATCCCTGGCACCAAAAAATCAATCAATAAATCAATCAATCAATAAATAAATAAAATTTTTTTTTAAAAGAAAGAAAATGATAAGAACACTAATGGAAATCTGGTAATCAAGACATTTTACCCAACGATTCCTTTCCATCTGGAGCAACTGTGTATCATGCAGTTTGTATTTCATTTGTGAAAGAACTAGCAGAAAAATTTAGAAATGCCATTGCCTCCTTTCACAAACCTCCCTTGAAGTAGAAAGTATATAATTAGGGCCTGAAACTTATACTGCTAGTGACTCACAAATATGACACCAAGAGTTAGTCATAATAGCCCTTACAGAGAAACAAGCCTATTCTTGACACTCAAATATGCCTGTAAGTTATCTAATTGCATTGCTTACTGCACAAACTATAGCAACTGGTAAATATAGCATTTGCCCAATTTGTTAATGAACTGATGAATAACATATCCTGTATCTCTTCCTGAAGGTTACTAAATTATAGTAAGAAGTATCACGTATTTTCTAATTATACACACTACTTGTATATATATTTCAGGGTTTAAAGGTTTATCCAGTTATTAACACCACTTATGGTAAATCTTTTTTGTTTTGTTTTGTAGTGCTGGGAATTGAACCCGGAGCCTCATGCATGCTAGGCAGGAGCAGCTCTGCCACTGAGCTACACCCCCAGCCCAGTAAATCTAATAGTGATTTTAAATGAACAGCACAAAGCTCAAGTCTCAGGGAGAAACCTGAATACGTGGTCACTTCAAGTGCCTACAATTTGTTCACTTTCTTCCCTCTATTTTCACTAATTTTATCCAGTTTCCCTAAACATGCAAATCTTGGCAGCAGAAAAAATATATGTAATAGGGTCTTGTTGTATGGAGGGGGATGATAAGAACTCTAAAGAAATATATTCTGTGAGCTGAAGAAGGGGGTAACTGTATCTGTAACTAAGAAGAACAATATTAAGACACCCTCACTCTGGATCTGGCCACCAAAAGGTAATTCTTCCTCCGAAGAGAAAGACGTTTTCTAGAATATAGGACGTGAAAAGACCACAGGCTGTTTGCCAAGTCTTGCGACCAGCTTCCAAAAACAGTTGAGGCCCATCCCCACAGACACTACAAGTTTGGATGTTGTAGCAGGAAAGCCATTCAGTTATTCCAATTAGTAAGGCATGGTAACAGCCGAGGGGAGAAATTTCATCCTTTCAGGTTCCCACAAGCCACATTAGACAATGTAGCTCTGGAAAACATATACGATAAGCAAGATATATAGTATTTTATAAAGGAAAAGAGGGTGTTAAAGGGGTTCTGTATGATGTCTAAGGGAACAGTTTCAAAGTGAAGACAGATCTTCAGATAGTTTAGCAAAGGACCGAGGTATCCTCAGTACTTTCTTCTCCTTTACCTCACAAAACTGCTATATATTTATGTGAAATCAGCCATATCATAATGGCAAAGCAAAGCCAAAGTATGGTAAGTCGTCAGGAGGCAATGTGAAGTTGACACAATTTGTTTTTTCCAGTCAGCAGTTTGGCCCAAAATGGCTCAAATGTTGCTTAAATTCCCATCTGACCTGAGTTATATAAATTCATATCTACTGACAAACAATATATATTTCCCAGAAGTTTTCCCTGAATGCTCTCATGACATAATCACGATGACCAAATGAATCAGAGGCAAACCTGTGAAGAACTGGAAAACCCTTCCAGTGGCTGCCGGGAAGGCCGGTTTACCTGGGGATCTTGTCTGCTCTTGCTCAATACAATCTTGGGCCGCCTTGGCTCTTGAGCTCAGTGAATCAGCGTCACACTCATCAAACTGCTAGAGCTAGAGATCCAGGGCTGAGATTAGCACATTCCCTCCGCAGACGGTCAATGGCAAACCTTCTGTACCTCCCAGTAAGGTGTATATTAACTAGTATCACATTCCCAGGGCCCACAATCACTTCCCTGGAACAAGGTCATGGTTCACTCCTGATGGCTCCTTTCAAAATCATCTATGCAATTTTTTTCTTTAAAAAGACTTCAACAGTGAGACAATAAATACATGCTAGTTAGCTTGTGTTGATATCTGCTTCCAGAGTCCAATGGAGAAACACACAGTCTGTACGACTGAGACAAGGACTAAACAGAAGAAGGTGGCGCAGGCTATCCATGTACTTACAGCTTATGTAATCAAGTTGAGTCTTACTGGTGTCTAGTGACTCCTTTAGGCTCTTCGGATATATATGATAGACTGCACTGGAACTTCCGGTCTTCCTAGCTGACTATACCTGCTACCTAAGTGGACACAGCCCTGCAAGAGAACGTGGGCTGGTCGTGCTAAGGGCGTACAAAGTGGGCTACCAGCTGAGACAACTCTGCTCAAAGATCACCTGCCTTCACAACATACTTTCTTAAATATTTTGTAGCCATTCTCCAAGTTAACAATTCATCTCATGTTTCCTCTTTGAAAGAGTTTCCTTATGGAGTTTCAGTTTGACTATTTTTATACAAACAATACAACTCCACAAACTATAAATATGTAATATTTTTTATATAATCCATACCAAATTATGCAAAACTATATATTTTTGCAACACTATGTAATTGTATAAAACTGACTAAATATTAAATCATATTTAAAATATTCTTCAGACAAAATGGATGGTAAAATAAACAACAAATAAAAAAAACAAGTCACTCACATAAAGACAAGTTTTACCAGCCATCATCACACAGTGTCTACTACTACTACTATTCTACCCACAATAAAAGCCACATGAAAATATTATGAATTTTAAGGGTATTCAGGGCAGAACATTTAATTTGGCTTCCTAAGTTCTGAGAAAGTAAAAAACTTCAGTACCAGGGCCAGGGATTTAGCTCAGTGGTTTTGCCGTCTGCTGCACAAGCGCAAGGACCTGAGTTCGATCCCCGGTACCAAAAAAAAAAAAATTTTGCCGCCTGCTGTGCAAGCACAAGGACCCGAGTTTGATTCCCGGTACCAAAAAAAAAAAAATTTTGCCGCCTGCTGTGCAAGCACAAGGACCCGAGTTTGATTCCCGGTACCAAAAAAAAAACAAAAACAACTTCAGTACCGCTCTCCCTAACTTATTCCACAGTATGAGCATCTTTGCCATCGACAAAGAAACAAAGACAACAAAGAAAACAAAACTCAAATACAAATGGTGAAGTTAAAAACTTCAAAGTTTATCAATTGTTTGAATTTTATAAAGATATATATCCCAGGCAAGTGGATTGACTTGTCCAACAAAGACCTAAGGAATTGGCAATCCTATGGTTTGACTTCAGATTCTACATTTGGATCTCACAGGAATAAATTTGTGAGGTTAAGTGGAAGTAGAGATCACTGTAACTCTTATCTTCCAACCTTAAATATTGACCTTATATATAAACATAAACCTACCCCTTTTCCGAGTTTTGAACCGCTGGCCTGTTAGCACTGGCTTCTGATGCTTATTCATAAAATTTCTGAAAAAGAAAATAAATATTAGGTATTTTAAAATAATTACTTCATAGAAATATGTAGTTATCAGTGTGTGTTCAACTTGCAACACAAATAAAAATACTTTTTTAACTACTGAACTAGCAAAAACATTAAAGTGTTGGCAAAGGACATAGGGAAAACAACCGCAGTCATTAACTTTGGCAGAGGCTGGACTCCACGTAATACCTTTTGGGGAGCATATGATGAAAAGCTATAAATACTCACATGGATATAACCTGTGGCCCAGGAATTCCTATACTAGGCATTTGTCCTACACTTAAACCCACAGGAGGATGCAAATATATGTTTGTCTGTGTATCTGTAAAAAGGTTTAACTGCAGCATTGCTGAACTCATGAGCAAAATGAAGTTAAATAAATCCCCACAAATATGAATCTGGTTAAAGAAGCTGTCATTTAGCTACTGCCTGGGACATGATACAACCTTGTAAATGAATGAATGAGATCGAACTGTGCTGCACTTCTTACCCTGGCTCCATTTCCGGCTATGTATTTATATGAAATCCCCCCTCTTCCATCACTCATGGCATTCCAGCCACACTGCCCTCATTGCTTTGCTTCCTATAGAGAGCATGAGGTCTGGTCTCTGAAGCTGTGTGCCTGTCTCTCTTTCCAGAAGGCTCTTCCCTAGCCTTCCAGGGCTCACTTCCTACATTTATTCAAAGGCCTCTTTTCAGAGAGGCCTCTGGACTATTCCGACATAAGTGGCTCTGTGTCATTCTTTGTCCTTACCTAGATTAATTTTTTTCAGGATCCTTTGCACTTCTTGCTATTTTACTATTATGTGTTTCTCCGTAGTTACTTTTTCTCATGAGAGAATTACCTCAATGAGGTTTTATGCAATACTGTGTCTTCATACCTAAAAACTGGGGATGGTGTAGGCATTTATTAAATACTCATCAAATAAGCTGTTCTACTAATATGGAAGGGTGTTCAAGGCATATTGTTTGTGGGGAAACAAGCAACTAACTAGAACAGCGTAAAGCGTAACTTTTCTGGCTAAATGGGGATAAAATAATATATACAAGGAAAATTTAAGGATAAAAATATGCCAAATTTGCCCATAAGATATCTTAACAATTGAGAATAAGGCAGTCTGAATTACAGTATACAGTGAGACCCTATCTCAAAAAACCAAAAAGAGAAACTAATTACAAATGAAGTGGAAAACACAAAACATAATTTAACATTTGAACTGAAGGAATTCTTATCAATTCTATAAAGTAAAATGAACTCACACATTGCTTTGCGACCAATAGGTAACTAAGCTAGCATCAACAACTTGAAGGAACCTAGTGGAAGAGATAAAATCCAAATACCTTTAATACAATGTGAGAGTTAAAACAATAGCAGTACCAGCATAGTGAGGGTACGCAAAGCGGACTGATTTGTTGTCTGTACATGGGGAAACAGATACATTTTGAAATAGTTACAAATGCTATAAACTCAATGTAACCTCGTTTTCATTGATGGATGTTGGAAACAGAGCTTCTAATCCATCGTTTATACTCACTACAACACTCATTCAGAACGCTCTCTGTTGGGGCTTGCATCAGAGTCACCCTGGATGGGCAAACATTTAATTGGAGCAAAAGTGATGACGCTGTATATTTTTCCCTCACCTCCCAAACTGGGCAAATATTATTCCAAATGTATGCTTATTTTAAGGAAAAAATAAAACAGAACAAAAAGCCTGTTAAAAGAGTTTAAAGTTACACTCTAAAATTAAAAAAAAAAAAGATAAGAGTCCAAATAGCTTCAAATATTTTTAGCAGGCGAATGTGCAAGCAGTTACTCTCTACTGATGTTTTTATTCTGTAGCTTAAAAAACATTACATTGTGAACCTTGTCTAAAACTTCTTTTTGTCTGGAATACAAACTCATGGAATTCCCTTTTGAACTTTATCTTCGCACCTTTTCCTATTTTTTCTGATGCTGGAGAATTACCATAAATATACACCATGAGAGAACTACTGTGTTTCTAACCTCTGGGTTTTCGAAACACACAAGTTTTTCTACACAGCTCAGTTTTAGGGGCTTACTCTCTACACCCCCAATACATCCTCTGTACAGAATGCAAAGATTTTAACATACATGCCCGCGACATGTAGAGCAAAAACAAAAAACTCACCCAGGTAGTGAAAGACTGAAGACACCGCTTTCACTAAGCGTCTATCTCACAGCTGTTACTATTTGGGGCACAGGCACGGCTTCCCTCTAAATTTAGCTCTCTGAGCTGCACTGTAATCTGCTCTGGTGAGGGTCAGCCTTTATAAGGTCCTCACTGAGCACATACAAAAGCCTGGCCCAAGAGAAGCTGGGGCACTTGCAATCAAAAAAAAAAAAAATGGTGGGAGCTCAAACCTCAGAAAATAACAAAGAAAGAGTAACAAAGGCAGTTCTGTTTTATGTTTATTACATCGCATTACAATTTGACATTAACGAAAAATATGACAGTTAAAAAAAAGTTTAACAGAATCCTCAAAAGATAAATTCATCTGAGGTACAATATATGCATCATGATCTGACTTCCACTAAACAAATACACAAAGAAAAAGAAACTGTAAGTCAAACACAGACAATAAAATCTCCTGTCCCAACAAAATGTGACAGCTCTATGGTTTGAAATAGTATTAAAATGCATATAAATTGGTAAACAAAATGGATTTCAGCAAGTCATATAAGAGACTAGATTTCTGGGTTATCTCAGAAGATAAAGGAGCATCAGAAAAATAATCAATGGATCAAAAATTTGGAAACTAGTTATTAATGAATTAAACACTTGTGAAAAAAATTCCTGTTTGAATCTAAACTGAAAGGTTTGAAGAGACAGTTTTGGGTCTGCTATGTTAGATGTGTGTCACCCACACATCTAGTGACAGGACTGTCCCCATCCCCAGCAGATCCCATCCCTTAACTCCCAGACTCGGGGATGAGGTGCGGCAAGGGGCAGCAGCAAGCACAGGCCTTCTGGTGTGAAAGTGCTAGCTGCCCAGCCCAAGTAAGGGACAGACACCCTGGATGTTGACTGCTAAGTCTTCCCTGGTGTTCTTGTCTCTTTAATTCTATTTTAGAAAGTAGCTGATCTATCAGAGAAGGACCTAATCTTCCAACTGTCCTGACAAAGAAGTGATTGTTCTTAACTAGTTAACACAAAGTTTTGGTCTGATACCCTTTTGTGTGTTGAAGATCAACCCTTCCTCATCTTTTCTTTTTCTTAGTCACTAACTTGCCAGGGTTGGGCTTGGACTGCCTCAGCTTTTCAGGGTGGTAGAATCACAGGTGTATGCCCTGCTTAGCTATATTTTTGACTGGTCTTCTTTAAACTTGGAAAACCTGTCTTGTAAAGACAGGCCATACCGCTAACATATTCTATGCGTATGATAATTATGCTATTCACACAACCTCAACCTTCTGACATGTGTACTTCAAAGCAAGGGTCACAATGAAAGGACAGAAAGAGTATTTTAAGCTCAGTGGGCTACATGGTTTCTTTTCTAACTACTCAGTCCTGCTGTAGCAACCTGAAAGCAGCCACAAACTATACGCAAACAAATGGCCATGGCTGTATTCCAATAAAATTTCATTAGCAAAACAGAGAGTAGCCCTGATTGGGCTCAGCTTGGCTGTGAAGTATATTCAAGACCAGTGGTGGTGAACCTCCGGCATGCGTGCGGCAGCGGGCTGTTTGTATCACTGAAAGCTCTAAAGGTTCTAGTCAGTGCATCCAACAGAACCATTCTACATTAGAATCATAATCTCTATTATTATATTATCATACAGTAGTAAACACACTGTCCAGTGTGTCAGTGGACATATTTGGCTATTGGGTCCTTGAATTGTGGTATGACTGAGGAAGGAATATTTAATTTTATTTCATTTTTATTGATTCAATTTTAAATTTAAGTAGTCAATGTGACTAACAGCCACTCTGTTGGGTAACTCAGTTCTAAAGCAACGCTTACAGCTACAAATATGAAAGTTGAAAAAAATGTGAAAACACAAAGAATAGAAGTATCTAATTAACATATTTCAAATAAAGTGGCACTAAGGATCATTTTGCCCAAATTTCAAAGTCACACAGCTACAGTGGACAAGGAAAAAAAAAATCACCACATTGCAGAGAAACCTATGTATTTAGTTAATATTCTTTAAGACTTTAGAAAAGGATTTTAGAATCTAAAAAGTATAGAGTAATAACATCACTTTCAAAGGAGAAAGTGTTTCATAAAGATAAAAATAACACCAAAAGAGAACTCCACGAAACTGAGCTATTCTCATGAAGTTCTTTGTATTGAGTAGCAAGAGTCTTAAGAATTACCTTCTAATTCATATTCTAAAGGAGCAGGATAATCTATGAAAGAAAAGATTATAAATTATCCACAATTACAAACAATTCTCCTTTCCATTAAAGCTAAAACTATAAGAACAGCATCATGAAATCCTTTAAAGAACATCTAGGACCCAGGAAACTTCGAGGTTGGTAACAATGTAACAAAATTCTCTCCAAAGAAACAAAAATAATTAAATTGGCTCTTTATGCCTATAAAAACACTATAAACAATCTGTTGCCCAGAATAACATTAGCTTGTTTAATATCCTTATCTTGGTCTTGTAACTAATGGCCTCTTTATACTCAAAATCCACCCTCTACAAAAAGCTTAATTAAATGTTCTCACAATTCTAGTTTTAGTGCTTAAAATTATTAAAAAATTTAAAATAGCAAACAGTCTAACTATAAGTTTATAAATAAACTCATATTCTTTTCTGTAATACAAAAATAACTGCTGTTACATGCCTGCCCCTTCATTCTTATCCTGTTTAATACAAAATAACGAAAACATTTTTTGTCAAAAAGCATGAAAATTAATGTTTCTTCCAAAAATTTACAAACATAAAAACTGAAAAATGAAAAGTGAAGAATATTACTGACAGAATAGTATACATTGGCTTTGAGGCAACTCA